GAATTACAATCATTCAGGAGTACTCGATCCCTTTTCTATTGACACTTATCAATGTGTGACTTGGTAGCCAAGCCATGAAATGTCATTAATTAAAACAAAACCCTAATGTAGTTTCAACCCTGGGGACCAATTGTTAAACACACTGGAAATATCAGGTATCATAACATTCTTGGAGTTCTGTGGTTTATCACAACCATTTCACTTTCTTCCTGTGGTTACTCTAATTCAGCTACCACACATGCCATAGTTCAGTAACACTTTTTTTTTTTAAGATTTATCTATTTGAGAGAGAGAGAGAGAGCACAAAAGGAGGAGGGGCAGAGGGAGGAGTGAGATTCTCAAGCAGACTCACTGCTGTGGGTGGAGCCTGATGCAGGACTTGATCTCAAGACTCCCGAGATCAGGACCTGAGCCAAAAATGAGTTGGATGTTTAACTGACTACACCACCCAGGTGCCCCTTCAATAACCCTTTCAAATGCAATCTCTCATGAGAAGTCCCAGTACCTAAAGGAGGAAATTTGAGGAAAAATTTTAAGATGCTAGCATTTCATGTCAAAAGAACATGGAAATGCTACTGGGCCCAGACAGGAAATCTCGCAAAAGATGAGTAAGGGGCATGACATAAATGGTCCAAGCCAGCATTATAAACTCTTGAATTATCTCACTTCCTTATGTATTATGCAAGTAATTTCTGTCAAAATACACTCCCAAAAATATTGCCTAGATTTTGATGGTATAATTAGCAAAGAATATTAAATATTCAGGGTGGGGTTAAACTCCTATCTGTATTTCAAACCATAGGTCACAGTAAACTCAGATTTTGCTTACCAACCAAGCAATAATGGTGGAACTAGAAGAGCAGACTCAATTTTAAGGGTTTTCTGTCACAAGGGAGATATAGGGAGGTTTCTTAATGTTTGAGAGAGTAAGGTTTTCTAAGATGACTGAATCTCTCATGATAGCCCCATTTCAGTAATGCAGATTCAGATCTTTCCTAAGACTTAAATTTCATGTAAAAGAAGTGGCAAGGTTGGGAATTCAGGAAATATGCTAGCTTAGCAACTAACTGATCTACTGTTGCATTTGGCTTTCAGCATCTGCAGCCCCATGGTTAGAAAGAGTAAGATTTCTCAACACAATCATTAAGAGACCTTGATTTCAATTTTTGCTTAAGGTCAGAATTTCAAGCAGGCTTTTAATTATCTAATTTAATTATAAACAAGCATCACACATGCTTTTGGAACTAGGAATCTTCATCACCTGTAGTTGTTGGTAGGAGCTATCTAGTCCCTAATGTGCTATGAGCTCATAATCCTGCTGTATCAAGAATAGCCTTTTCTAGGGATATATGCATCCCTATTTTTACAGCAACATTACTTACAACAACCAAATTAGGGAAGCAGTGTAACTGTCCATTGACAGATGAATGGATAAAGATGACATGGTATATATATACAATGAACTGTTCATCCAGAAAAGGAATGAAATCTTGCCGTTTGCAATGACATGATAGAGCTAGAGTATTATGCTAGGTGATATAAGTCAGTCAGAGAGACACCATATTATTCCATATGTGGAACTTAAGAAACAAAGCAAATGAGTGGGGGGTGGGGGGTGGGAAGAAGCCAAGAAACAGACTCTTAACCACTGAGAAATTTGATGGTTACCAGAGTGGAGTTGGGCAGGGGGCTGGGGGTAATAGATGATAAGAATTAAGGAGTGTACTTGTGATGAGCACTGGGTGATGTACAGAAGTGTTGAATCATTATACTGCACACTTTAAATTACACTGTATGTTAATTATACTGGAATTAAAATTTTTTTAAAAATAGCCTTTCCTAATACAAAATAGAATTACAAGTTTTTCTTTTGATCTATCTCATTCAATAATCCTTAATACTCCACTTCTCTATCCTTTGATAATCATTCTCTAGTATCAGCTGCCATGGGGGCTAGCATTGCTTGGTTGAGAACAAAAGCAGACTTTAACTTAAAATCAGAAGTTATATATTGGAAGAATATCAAGTACCTCACAGATATAAAGAACTGAACTAAGATGTGAGAAAGCAGGAAAGATCCATTTAATGGATAAGAGTGGTACAGAGGGATGCAGAAATCTTTAGACTGCTGCCAAAGGATGACTCAACTACCTCAACTCACCTGCAGTACTTCAGCTTAGGAGTGATACTTCATGCTCTTAACAGTTGGTTACAAGAGGGCCCCAACCAATCACAATGAAAAGAAAACATCCGTTGTGCCACATATATGGCTGAATATTGATTGGCCCTGCTCCTGTCCCTGTGTCTCCAACCAAAATAAAAAGAATGAAAAATCTGATTGGCTTAATTGGATCCATGTGTGACTGTAGATTACTACAGAATGAAGAAAGTCAAGTGCCAACAAAGAGCTAGAATAAGTGTGTGTGTCAAAGACAAAACTAGATTTCACCATATATACTGAAAAAAATATGCACATAGATACATGCACACACATATATATTCAATATTAATTTTGATGCTATGACATGATTTTACACTTTAGGTTTTGCAAGTTGCACATATCTCATTTAATATATTGTGGACAGACAATTCTCCATAGAAGCGTACATAGGATTTAACCTCTTTCTACTAACCAGACAATACAGTATTGAATAATCACAATTTAATGAACCTGCTTGGCAGGACAGTGAAATCTTATTTTATCATAATTACAATTTTGCAATAAACATTATTTACAGAAATTTCTTCCAATGGGACAAAATTCCTAGATCTAGAATTACTATTTCAAAAGGAATGCATATTTATAATGTTGATAGGTCATACTATGTTGCCATCCAAAAAGACAATTTTACACTACTAATGATCAGGTATCTGTCTTCGTGCTGATGCCAGTACTGGACATTATCTAAATTTTAGATTTTAATCCATCTGAAAGCCAGGAAAGCTTGTTTTAGTTATTTTCTGATTAGTGAGGCTAAGAAATTTACAGACTTTGTTTAGTCATTTGAATTCTTCAACCAACATACCTATTTGGTATACATCACCAATTTTTTCCCACTGTTTTGTAGGTGTAATGGCACTTTGTTCCTACATGACATATTTTTCATATAACTTGTATTATTTGTTAATTGTCTTTTACATCTTTTTTGGTGCCTTCCACCATGCTTACCTTTTTAATCTTTGTACAGGCCAACTTATTCTCTTGCCCATGTCTTCTAGGACCCCATGTCCTATTTAGTAAAGCCTTCCTCCTTTCTGTTTGCTTCTTACATATCATTTCATAATTAGAAATGTTAAATACAATTGCATATTTGTCTATAAGGTATGTGTGTTTTTTTGAAAGAGGGTGGATTACCAACTGTCAAAATATTTCCCCACTAATGAAAAACCAGCCTTATGATATAGCAAAATCTGAAATGCAGAGGAACCTATTACAAAAATGTCCTGCTATGCTTGTCAAATTATCTTTCCTTGTGTTGTTTCCACTGAAACTGTCAAAGTAAATATATCCTACTAGGACTCTGTTGTGAATGACAACTTACAAACATTTTAACAGTATTGAGTATTTCATCTAGAAAAAGTACTTCTCCTCTATTGACATATTTTTGTATTTCAATAGTTTAATAATACCTTTTCAACTCTATTCATAAGTTGCCTTAGAATTTTGTCTTGTTTTTGAAGTGGGAGTTGTATTACACTCTTAGAAATAATTAGAACCTTTTGTATACTCTCCTCTGTACCAGAGCAGGGGTTGGCAAACTTCTGTAAAAGGATAGAATAAATATTTGAGGCATTGCAGGCCATATTGGCTCTGTTGTGGCTCCTCAGCTCTGCCACTGTGGTGTGAAAGCAGCCACAGAAAAATGTAAACAAATGAATGTGGCTGTATGCCAATAAAACTTTCTTTGCAGACACTGATATTTAAACTTAATATAATTCTCATGTTGTCACAACATATTCTTTTCACTTGTTCAATCATTTAAAACCTTTTTTTTTTTTTTTTTAAATTTAGATCATGGGCCATACAGAACTAGAGACTTTGGTCAATTTGGACTGGTTTACTTTAAGGTTGACAGTTCCTTAAAAGTTTAATAGAATTGATTCATAAGCCCAAGTGATTTTAAATCAAATCTTTCCAAATTTTCTAATTTTTTAGTAACATGTCATAGTTTTAACTTTAGGCAAATAAATCTTGCATTTTTTTCTGATCATTTCAGTTTTTTTGTTCCAAGAGGCCTACTCATCCATGTTCTCCACAAACTTTCTAAGACTGATGTTAGACATACAGGAAAGCTGAATTCTCTCACCAATAAAGTCACATCACCTTACATTTATGCAGATGAGATGGAAAGCCACAGTTCAAACTCAACGTGATGAAATCAAATTTTAAACCACCATTGGCAAAACCTCATTGACTACTTTGAAACTTCTGTTCCTGATCTAAACTGGTTTCTCCTGGCCTCCTTCTATGCATCATTTTTATTCAAGAGCTGACTGTGATAACCCTTAATGTCCCAAAATAATGTTTTACTCAATATTTGATCTGCACCAGGCACTGTGCTAATGAATAAGCACATCTTATGTATTAACCAATTTAAAGGATCTCAACACAAGTTTTTACATAAGAAGTGAATGAACTATAGTTACACTTAAGAAAAAAATCTGCAATGGGAAGACCAAACTCAAGGACAACAAAACTAAACCAAACAGAGGGACCAGTTTTTAAGCTAATGGAGTTGTCCAGGTGAAACAACAATGTTGAGACTATGCTGATGGGAGGGAGGACGGACCCCAGAGAAATCTGGGAAGCAGATCCACAGGATTTGATGTGGAAGGCAAAGAGGGGTGTGCTGCTGACTCTCCACTATGAATTCTCTGATGAGCAAGGTGTGCGGTCTGCCGGAAGACTTTTCTACTTTTCTTATAGTTATAGGATCTCTCTCCAGTGTGGACTCTTTTATGTTGATTGAGGTGTCCAATTTGGATGAAGGTTTTCCTACATTCTTTGCATTCATATGGTTTCTTTCCAGAATGAATTCTCTGATGTACACTAAGGGACTGACGATGGCTAAAGGCTTTGCCACATGCGCTACATTCATAAGGTTTCTCTCCAGTATGACTTCTGCGATGACAAATAAGTGATGATTTTGTCTTGAATGCCTTCCCACATTCAATACATTCATAAGGTCTTTGGCCAGTGTGAAGCCTCTGATGTTGAGTACAGGATGAGTTATCACCAAAGGCCTTCCCACATTCAACACATTTATAGGGTTTCTCTCCAGTATGAACCCTCTGATGCTGAATAAGGTGTGTGGTTTGGCTAAAGGCTTTACCACATTCCTTACACTCATATGGTTTCTCTCCTGTATGTGTTTTCTGATGCTGGGCAAGGTGAGCCTTCTGGGTGAATGCTTTACTACAAATTTTACATTCATAGGGCTTCTCTCCAGTATGTATTCTCTGATGAGTAGCCAGCTGTGAACTTATGCTGAAGGATTTACCACATTCCCCACATTCAAAGGGTTTCTCTCCAGTATGAATCCTCAAATGACTAGCAAGGTGTATATTCTGCCTAAAAGCTTTCCCACATTCTTTACATTTAAAAGGCTTTTCTCCAGAATGCACTCTTTGATGTTGAGTGAGTGATGCATGATGACTGAAGGCTTTTCTGCAAACATCACATTCATATGGTTTTTCTCCAGTATGAATCCTTTGATGTACAGTAAGAGATGAGCCATATCTAAAGGATTTGTCACATACATCACATTTGTAGGGTTTCTCTCCAGTATGAATTCTCCTATGTTGATTAAGTCCTATGTGATCACTAAAGGCTTTTCCACAGTCGATGCAATCAAAGGGTTTCTCTCCAGTGTGGTAATATCTCCAGTGACGAATAAGGGATGTGTTCTGTATGAAAGCTTTCCCACATTCAATACATTCATAAGGCTTCTTGCCAGTGTGACATCTTTGATGTCTAGCAAAGGATGAGCCATCACTGAAGGCCTTTCCACATTCATTACATTTATAGGGTTTCTCTCCAGTATGAATTCTCTGATGAACAGTAAGGGATGAACTCTGGGTAAAAGTTTTCTTACATTCATTACATTTGAAAAGTTTTTTTCCCGCATAAATTCCCGTATGTTTTATTACCACTGAATTTTTGGGGAAATTTTTAACTGAATCACGATTATGAACTCTCTCTTCGGAAATGTCCAAATGAAACCATCTTCCAGATTTATTAAAATTACGTTCTCTTTCCTTAGAGAGGCTTTTATTATGAGTGATTGCCTCTTGCCTGAATTGTGTCTCCTGACCTACCAGCTTCCTTTCAAACACACTCTCAGAATCCCAATTTTCTCTGAAAGTGGAACACTCCAAATTAGTGTTTGAAGTTCTATCTGTTACTTCAGCAAATGTATCTTGCTTTGGAAATAATTCCTGGGTCTCATGTATAGACTGTTGGCCTGAAAGATAACAAGAAAACAAGTATTTCTTTATTGTGTGCTAGAAAAAAAAGAATTTGCTAAGAGTTTTTGAAAACTATGAATGAATTCATTAATTGGTGAAATAAACCCTAATTAAACTACATAAACTATGTGCCTCTAAAACATGTAAACATGCAGTATACAATGTATGTAAACAAGCTCCAGCATAATTTATATAGGAGCCTACAAGAGGTGAGCAGAAAAGAATTAAATACATGTGGAATCAGTTACATATTAGAAGAAAGGAACTGGGAAATTTTTCTGCAATCACACCACCTAAAAATTCATTCATTGCCTTTAATCTCTCTCCCACTCTGTCTTGCTTCAATGCCAGAGCAGTCATCACATCATGAAAGCTGTTCCAAGAAGCACACCAAAGCACAAAAAAGACAAAGTACTCATTAGCATTTATCAGGATTATCTGAAAGCTGGTCTTTCCCCTCAAATGAGAAAATAAGGTTTCTGCTAACCACATTTTATTTAATTTCAACAAAGACCTACATTACCAACTGATACATTTAGCAACATAATATCATTTTTACATTTACCTGCATGCTTTCATAGGCCTGACACTTTTCTGGTCTTTTATTAATTCTTCACTTCTCTGGCCATATATTAATGAATAGGACCTGCCATTTACTGTTTTAGTTCAAAACTGTTTTTCTAAAAATGGTGAGTGCTGCCATTATATTTAATCACATCATACACACTACTGAGCAAGCATGTGTCTTATCTCAGATTCTAATGCTTACAGGGAAGAGTGTACATGCCTAAAGTCCTCCTGCTAAATCACTTAGCATGCACCAAAAATTTGTGCATGTGTAGTTAATCTTAATAAATACATACAGATGAAAGTGGTTTTGGGGAGATGATGCAGAGAATCAAAAGTTATCAAAAAGATGATCTTAAAAAAAGGGAAAATAGTTTTTTCTCATTAAATCTAAACACTTAAAGTTTTCCTTCTTAGATCAGTAATAAGACAAGGATGCCTGCTTTTTCAACTTCTACTCAACACTGTACTAGAGGTTCTAGCCAGAGCAATCAGAAACAGAAATAAGACATTCAAGTTAGAAAGGAAGAAGTAAACTGTTATTTGCAGATAACATGATCCCATGTTTTTTTTATATAGAAAACCCCAGAGAATCCACAAGAAAAGTACTAGAGCTAATAAATCAATTCATCAAAATTACAAGACACAAGATCACAACACACAAAAATCAGTTTTGGTTCTATACCCTAGAAATGAACAATCTGAAAAGGAAATTATGAAAACAATTCTATGAGGGATAACATTAAAAGAATAAATTACTTAAGAATAAATTTACCTAAGGAGGTACGACATTGTACACTGAAAACTACAAAACACTGCTGAATGAAATTAAGAAAATATAAATAAATGGAAAGACATCCTGTGTTCATGGACAGGAAGAGAGTAAGAAAGAATTAAATAAGTAATGGAAACAAGACCAAATTTGTGAGGTGATACAAATGGGAATGATGCCTCTATTAATAAAAAGAAAAAACCGTAAGTGAAACAAAAGGTCAACAAAGTAAAGGCTTCTATAAAGATACCACCCAACTTAAACTACACCTTATGGTGAAAAGAAACAGCCATGTGCAAACTTACAGGCTACATGAAAGTGGGAACAAAATGTATTACATTTTTGAGATAGGATTTATATTCATACAATATAAAGGCAAGGAAATATGATCCAAAGGAAATGTGGGTGATAAGTATATTGACACCATTAACAGAATATGAACTTTAAATGGATTTAAAGTGCACTATTTCTCAAAATTATAAGTACTGCAGGAAATGCAAATTAAACACCCCTTTTCACCCAAGAGCTTGGCAAAAATTAAAAAAAAAAATACTCACTATTGGTAAAGATGTCTAGAAATAGGTATTGTTCACATAAAAATGTTAAAATCTTTACACATCACAATTTAAAAAGGTCTAATTTTTTTTTAATTTTTATTTATTTATGATAGTCACAGAGAGAGAGAGAAGCAGAGACACAGACAGAGGGAGAAGCAGGCTCCATGCACCAGGAGCCCGACGTGGGACTCGATCCCGGGTCTCCAGGATCACGCCCTGGGCCAAAGGCAGGCGCCAAACTGCTGTGCCACCCAGGGATCCCTAAAAAGGTCTAATTAAACAGAAACTCCTATTACCATATGTGAGAAACTATGTTGATATTTAAAAACAAAAAATCACTGGAACAGTTAAGAAAGCTTTTAACACACAAATAGAGAAATGAATATATGAGATATATTTTACAAAAGGATAAAGAAGATAAACATGTAGAAACAGTATTCAATCTCTTTCATAATAAAAAAAAATAACTTTAGGGCATAATCTTTCACCAAAAAATAAGCAACTATTTTCATCAAAATACCCACTGCTAGGAAGATACAATTAATCCTATACATCAAGTCATCTAATCACTGCAGCAGTTGCTGAAAGCAAACAAAACTTTCAGAGCCTAACAGATGTTCACATCCAGGGATATAACAATCCCAAAATAGTGGTTTTCATGTACATAAAGATATCTGTTGCAAGTATATTTTTAATACCAAAAAATGTGAAGCATCCTAATTGAGCAATGAGATATAGAGCACAGAATACATGTGAAAAAACATCTCTGTGCATGTGGGAATACACACTATAATTCCAATTACATGAAAAAATATGTGTTTTTTCACAACTTGAAGAAGTCTACACTTGCTCTGTTAACATATTGGGATTATCAGTCATGGTTTTACATTCTGCTTCCAAACAGGTGATAGGATTACATTTTCCATAAACCATTGTTTTCTAAAGAAATTCTTCTTTCCCTTATGTATCAAAAGAGGAATAGAACTCCCCGCCTCAAAAAAAGAAGAGACCTTCCACTTCTATCTTCTTACAATGCAACTTCTATCCACCCGGACTCAAACAAGGAAGCTACTGGAAATTAATCCTCTCCTTTGTCTCTGCAATGCCCTATTGGAAATTCTGCAAACTCTACTTCATCCAGTTCATCCATAAACATGTTTCATCCTTTCCACTGGAGTGACCATTTACAATCATAACATATGTGTAAATTCCCTTTTTCTCCAAGTACCTGCCAATGCCAAGCACAATGGCTCCCTCAAATAACTTTCCATTCATGGTTCTTACAGGAATGGATGCAGAATGAAATGAGTGGGCCATGTGATCACGAAAAATAGCTCAAAAGTACATGGGGTCAGGACAGAATCATGTAAGGAGCTGAGCAAATATGAGTGGCCAAAGGAGAAACGTTACAGGGAATGAGCAATCACTCAAGAGAAGGTAGCAAAGGAGGAAAGAGAATAATTTTGAAATCTGAGACCTCTATTTTCTCTCTAGACCTGGAGGACTTTGTGAAGTCCTGTGCATCTTCTCCTATATGTTAGTGAGGACTCAGCCTCTTTGGCGAAAGTTCTGCTCTAACCTGCAGTGGCACTTCCACCCAGGCCTGCTGCACTCACCTGAGAACAGGCTCCTTGTCAGTTCTCTTTCCACCATCCAGGGCTCTTTCCCGTGCTCCAGCAGAGAGACCAAATCTGGCTTAGAGACACAGGGTCCTGCATATGGGCAGATATGGGGTTCTGTCATACACTGGACATTCTTAATCAAGAACCAGTTCTGTGGTTTTGATAGAAAAGTGTTTTATTACAGGAAGAAGCAGAAAGAAAAGTGAGCAGTATCTGAAAGACATTAAAGATGATGCTTCAAGCATAATGAACATACCAACTTTCAACTCTACAAATGTCAAATTCTCATCTTAGGAATCATGACAAAAATTCAGCCCAAAACTTCAGAAGACCCCTCCTCCACCTCTAAATTCAAAACTGACATTTGAATAAGGCACCTGGGTGGCTCAGTCAATTAAGTGCCTGCTTTCGGCTCAGGTCACGATCTCAGGGTCCTGGGGTCAAGTCCCATATCGAGCTCCCTGCTCAGTGGAGAGCCTACTTCTCCCTCTACCTCTGCCCCTTCCCCCATTTATGCTCTCTCTCATTCTTTTTTTTTTTTTTAAGATTTTATTTATTTCTTCATGAAAGACACAGAGAGACAGAAAGACAGAGAAAGAGAGAGAAAGAGAGAGAGAGAGAGAGAGGGGTGGCGGGGGCAGAGACACAGGCAGAGGGAGAAGCAGGCTCCATGCAGGGAGCCTGACGTGGGACTTGATCCTGAGTCTCTAGGATCATGACCTGGGCCAAAGGAGGCGCTAAACCGCTGAGCCACCCGGGCTGCCCTCTCTCTCATTCTCAAATAAATAAATATATAAATAAAACCCCTGAGAAATGAAAGTGGCAGTTGCTGAAGACAGGTTCAGATTTAGGAGAGGGACATCCTTACCTACTGACCCCAGGTCACTACGGTTCTCCCATATCACATTCTTACAGAAACTCTTCTGAGCAGGGTCCAGCTGCTGGGAGAAGTCTACGGCCATATTCGTGATAGTCACTAAGCCCTGAAATGGTACAACACACTTTTTGGTCAAATGTGCCCACAAACCTGCAGAGGCTGTGGGGAAGGGTGTGAAAGACGCAACCTATGCAAGAATTCTCACTCAGGTTCTGAGCAACGCAGGTCACATAATGACCAGGTCTAGGCATAATGTCTATGTTTGGGGGGAAAAAAAGAATCTGTAATTTTGCAGAGGAGAACAAACTTACAGTATGAATCTCCTAATGCTGACTGAGGCTTTCCCCACCTTCAAGACTCAAGTCTGCCAGGTGTCCCTCTCACAATGTAAGCTTTGATGACAGAGCAGGGCTGAGGTCCTGCTCAAAGCCTTCTCATGTCATCACATGTTGAATGTTTTTGATTAAGACAGACTTGTTTGTGACTCATTACAACTGAATTGTAGCCCCTCTTCTAGTGGGCATCATGACTGCACATTCTTCCTTCTGGCGGGATACTCTGTCTACAGGAAGCACTGTATTCAAAGGAAAACTTCTCCCAAACTCACTGTGGTCATGATCTCTCCCCTCAAGACAGGTTTCTTTTGGAAGGATACTGTGTCTTGACTAGAACTGATCTCCTGACTTACCGGCTGCCTCTCAAACAGAGCACCATAATCCCAATGTTCCTCCAATATGGAGCATTCCAGGCTGTAATTTGTGAGTCTCTCCACTATCACTGCCTGGGATAACTTTTCTTTAGAGATGTCCTTCTTTGCAGGTAACTCCTTGGTCTCCAGCACAGCCTTCAAATCTGAAAGATATGAAAAAAGCAAGCTTTCTCCGTTATGTATCAGTATAAAGAAAACTTCCAAAACATAATCAGAGGAATTAAAATTCTCAGAGAAACATATCATATCAAAAGCTTTTTTTATATGACTAACCAACCATATATTCCCATATTTGTGTAGCTTTCATCCTAAAGGCTACAACATGAGCTTTATTACCTAAATCTAAGATAAAATGTGGCTAACAAAAAGAGAGGGGAGGCTAAGGAAGAAAACTGCTATATGATCCTTATCTCAACATTATTAAGTAAAATTCACTTTGAATCTTTCTCCAGTTTTTCAGAAAAAAATTATTTTCTCTTTTTTTAAGAGTGCCTCTTTTATTACAATGTTAACTAACAAAAGTTCAAATCCCATCCTGAAAAGTGCAAGTCTTCAATAATCAACTAGAATCTCCACAAGAGACAAAGGACTGCCAGAAGAAAAAAGCTATTTTGTTTTATTAAACTCATTCAGAGAATGTGATCTAATATGTGAAATGGAAAAGTTTCACAGATACACCCTGCTAGTTCTCCCGTACCCTTTAACAACCCACGAATCTTGTCGGAAGTGGTATCTTTGAGCAGCCTGTCCGGTTCTGTCAATACAAAGTCTTCCCTTGTATGATTTAAACAAAGAGGTTTTACAAGATTCTCAATTCTTTAGAAATCGTTGCCATTTCCTCTTGTAGTAACCCCTGAGAGAAGTCTGTAATTCTGATCCCTTGTCTTACTTGGTCAATTTGTTGTTCCACAGATAATGCTGTAGTTGAAACCACTGTATTCCCAAGTGATAGAAATATCATCACAAGATCTGTAAGATTTCTCTGTCAAATCAGAATCAGTGTTCTTTCCTTCTGAGAGCCAGTCACTCCACTGTCCTGTCCGGTCCTGTCTGCACTGGGAGCCCCACCTGCCCAAATCAATGATGGCCCCGCCCAGACCCAGCTCCTCACCTGCTGATCTCTTTCTTGTCATTCTAACATTTCTGCTAAAGACTCTACTCTCATTCTTGTTTCTCTGGCTTGAAACTGGGAGTGATTTTTCTTCTTCCTCTTCGGTCCCTATTTATACTCACCATACATAGGACAGCAGTTTCTACTTCACATAAGCTATGTACGGATATGCCCTATTTCCCCAGTGACAGGGTTAATTCTTCAATAGCTTACACTCATCCACCAATCAGCACCTGATGGCCTTACTCAAAAGTGACAATAAAAGTCAGTGAAAGACGTCTATACACAGAACAGTCATTTAATCAAAGAGAAATAAGATAATAAAGACACTGGAATCAGCCAAGGATTTTTTAAAGTACAGGAATGTAAGCTTGCATGACAAAGGGTCTAAGAAGGAGCTAGGAAAAATGGAATCCAGAGCAGAGGAAAGAAGTCATGTTCAGAGGGAGGGGAGCAGAGGTGGAGAGATCAGGTAGGATGAACATCTTGGGCAGCCTGGCTCAAGAGGCCTCAATTCTCCCTTCAGGGCTGGAGGCTCAGGAAGTCTGCTGATCCCATATGCCTGGGGTCCTGAGCCGTGACCCACAGGGCCTTCACCCCAGCCAGGCCTCCCACGCTCACCTGGGCACCGGCCTCTTGTCAACTTTCTCTTCACCATCCAGGGCTCCTTCCTCTGTTCCAATGAGGAGATCATGTCGGGCTTGGAAATGCAAAGTCCTAAGTACACAAGAAGAGGGAGGAGGTGGTCATGCTGTGGGTCTGTGCAGACTGAAGATGCTGGCTCCCTGGCCTGATGAAAGAGTGCAGGGCAGGGCATGGTGCTGAAGGAGTAAAGGGCTCCAAGTTACAGAAGCCACCAGGGCAGGTTGGAGAATGAGCAGGGAACATCCTCACCTAGTGAAACCAGGTTCCTGTAGTTCTCCAACATCACACTCCTGTACAGATTCCTCTGAGCAGAGTTCAGCCACTCCCACTCCTCTTGGGAGAAACTGACGGCCACATCCCCAAATGTCACCAAGCTCTGAAAGGACAAAACCACACTCTTGTTTAATCAATGCTCATGCCCCATCAACGGGGATGGGGAGGTGGTTGTTATGGACTCAACTGTGTTCCCCAAACTCATACACTGAAGTCTAACACCCAGAAACTCAGAATGTGATTCATTTGGCGGTGGAACCTTAAAAGAGGCGATTAAAAGTTAAATGAAGTCCTGTGGTTGGACCCTAATCCAATGTTACTGGTGTCCTTATAGTAAGAGGAAGAGACACCAGGGATGCTACCACACAGAGAAAAGCATGTGCAAAGACATGGTGACAGGGCGACCATCCGCAAGTCGAAGAGAAGCCTCAGGGAAAACCAAGCCTGCCAGCACTGTGATCTCCAACTCCCAGCCTCCAGAACAGACTGGGAAGATAAATGTTGTTCAAGATCCCCATCCACGGTGTGTTGTTACAGCAGCCTCAGATAGGGGTCTCAGGACTACTTTTCTCCTCAGTTTGGGTGAGAGACTATATGTATAAGGAATAATATCTAAAGAGAGAAAAATACACAAACAGCCCCTGCCCTCAGAGAGCTGGCAATTTTGTGCAGGTGTACACACAGCAATTCAGACCATAAATAATGGAGGCTCAAGTGCTCCAGGCACAACATATAAGAGCATTTTTCAACATGACGACACACGAGTGGCCTGGATCAGCACAAGAATGTGGAAATCAATGTGAAGATGAGCCTCAAAAGGCAGAGAAGACTAACCCTCAAAGCAGGTTCTAGGGATTTCTATTTCACTTTCAGTGTTCATTAGATGTTGAGCATTCGTGTTAATAGAAAAAAAATACACTAAACAAAATCCTCTTTTTTTCTGACATAAAGATGTTTAAGAAAAACACTACAAAAAAAAAAAAAAAAGGAAAAACATTACAGAACACTTTCAAGAATCAAGGTGCCATATCAGAGAAGCAGAAGTGTCGAAAGGTACCATGAACACATGTGTGATGGTGAGCATGCAGCTCATCTTGTCCTCTCCTGGCCAATTTTTATGTAGCATATTTTTAGGATTTCAGTGTATAATTCTGATACATTCCAATGTATTTTAAACATTTACTTAATTCAAACTCTCACCCTGGGAATCCCATGAGTGGCTGCCCTCTAGATTTAAATGACCAGCAGCCCTAGGATTTTAAAGTATATAGTGAGAGGCCCCTGGGTGGCTCAATGGTTGAGCATCTGCCTTTGTCTCAGGTCATCATCCTGGGGTCCTGGGATCGAGTCCTGCATCAGGCCCCCTGCAGGGAGCCTGTTTCTCCCTCTGCCTATGTCTCTGCCTCTCTGTGTCTCTCATGGATAAATAAATAAAATCTTAAAAAAAAAAAGTAAATAGTGAAATCAATAAGCAGCAGAGCCCAAAAGCTGAATGCAGACTGTAGCACACACTAGCTCTGCAATCTCACCTACTCACTTAACCTGTCTCACCTCCCCATCTGCAAAATGGAAAAAATCAACAAAATCTCACAAATCATGGACCAAACATAGCACGGGCACAGCACTAGGGACTGGCACAGGTTCCACAAAAGTTCTAAATACATGTTGGCTACCACACTGCTGACCAACAACCCAACTTCCCTGTTTTCAGCTCCACATAATTCTAGATTTAAATGACCAGCAGCCCTAGCACTGTAAAATCCTAGTGACAACAAAAGTCCCTGTGAGGGGATATGCTATCACATGCTCTTTAGCCTGCACCAATTCTGAAAGTATTTTCAACCAAACCATGTAAAGACAAGTCAAAAGTGTTTTATAAGTGATATCTTTGATTTGTGCAGACAGTAAACTTTTGATAGCATAAATCTCCTAAATGGGAGACTGAAAGGTGCCAGGTCATAGAAAACTGCTGGTAATACTTGCAGGAAACAGCCAAGAACTGCATATTGTAAGCCCTGAGCCAAGAACATGCTCGTATGTCGACCTGAACAAGCAAGTCTCAGATGGTGCTGGCTGCTCTCAGTAATGCTGTCAACTTGGAGCATCTGGTCATGAGAGCAAAGGAACTGATCTGCTGGCCGAATAAGTAGCAAGAGTGCTCATTTTGCTGTGAAGGTTCAGCTCTGGTTCCCTGGGTTGTTTATATTCATCTGTACAAGCAGTTAAATGCCTTCAAATTTACTGTGCAAGACTCAGTGGAAATCTTCAAGCATCCTGAAACTCAAACGTTTCAATGCAGATGATAAATGAAATAAGCCAGACACAGAAAAACAAACATTGCATGATCTTGCTTATATGTGAAAGCTGAAATAGTCCAACTTACAGAAGCAGAGGGTAGAATGGCAGTTGCCAGGGCCTGGGTAAGAAGGAAATGTGGAGGTGATGGTCAAAGGGAACAAAGTTTCAGTTATGAAGGATGACTAGTTTTGGAGATGTAATGTATAACATTATGCCTATAGCTAACAATATTCTGTTATTTCCTTAAAATTTACTAATAGGGTAGATTTTTTTTTAAGAAGGTAGATCTTATGTTAAGTGTTCTTGCTAAGAAAAAATAATAATAAGAGTTGGAGGAACATTTGGAAGATGATAAGTTTATGGCCTTGATGTTAGTGATGGTTTTACCAGTATATATCCATCCTCAAACTCACTGAGTTGTACACATTAAAAACATGCAGCTTCCTACATGTCAATCATACCTCCATAAAGTGGCTTAAAAAAAACACACAAACATTTCTTCTTTTTTTAATATTTATTTAAGTAATCTCTACACCCAGTGTGGGCCTTAAACTCACAATCCCAAGATCAAGAGCTGCATGCTCTTCTGACTGGGCCCAGGCCCCCCAAAAAAAACATTTCAATGCAAATATTTCCAAAGATATAGATGTTCAGACACATGCTACTTCTATGCTTTTATTCTGACCTGATTTTATTTTATTTTTTTTAGGTTTTTTAAAAATCTGACCTGATTTTAAAAGCCAGCTTTTCACAGATTCCAGCCCTATAGTTCTTCTTCTTTTTTTTTAAAGATTTTATTTATTTTATTTTATTTATTCATAGAGACACAGAGAGACAGAGGCAGAGACACAGGCAGAGGGAGAAGCAGGCTCCACGCAGGAAGCCCAATGTAGGACTCGATCCTGGGTCTCCAGGATCACGCCCTGGGCTGCAGGTGGCGCTAAACCGCTGCGCCACTGGGGCTGCCCTAGCCCTATAGTTTTAACTACATGCTCCATGCCTGGCGAGTCTTACACTTATTTTTTTCAGACATTCAAAAATCTCTCACATATCGTTTACTAAATGAAATATTATATACAGTATATATAATGTATACAGTATTATATACAGTATACAGTAAATATACTGTATGCAAATTACAATACCTTTTTTAAATCTACAATATAATTACAGCATCTTTACAATGACGTTAGAAGTCTGTTGGTGCAAGAGAAAATGATGCCCAAATTTCTAGCCCTTGTTATTACTTTGTCATTGATGGGAAAACTGGAATTTGAGGCTCTTGCTACAAAGAAGAGTATAAGTTCCAATATTTTCTTATACCTGGGCAACTGAGTTTTTGGGGGCCTGGTTTTTTGCTTAATAAGAATGTCCCCTTCTATCTCTACTTCTATGTTCCAGAGGGACCCAGCATTAATGGTGTATGTTCCTCCAGGTAAGACATTTTATCAGTTATATAGACTGCCTTTTATGTATAGAATCAGTAACTCTGGGGGCTCCTGGGTGGCTCAGTTGGTTAAGTGTCTGCCTTTGACTCAGGTCATGATCCCAGGAACAAGTCCCATACTGTGTCTGGCTCCTTGGAGTCTACTGCTCCCTCTGTTCCTCCCCTCTTCCCCACTTGTGTGCACTCTCTCAAATAAACAAAAAATCTATAAAAAAAAAAAGAAAAAGAAAAAGAAAAGAAATGCAACTGATCAAAAAAGAATCAATGACTTCTGTTAATGTTATGGTCTGAATACTTTATGTCCCCCCAAAACCTATACATTTGAATCCTAATGCCCAGTGTGATGGCATTTGAAGGTAGGGCCTTTTGGGAGGTGCTTCAGTCATGAGGGTGAATCCTCTTTAATGGTCTTAGTGTCCTTATAAAAGAGACCCCTGAGAGCTCCCTAGCCCCTTCTTCCGTATGAGGACACGGAGAGAGGGTGCCAGCTATGAAACAGGAAGCGGGTCTGCATCAGTCACCACATATAATTTGCCAACACCACAATCTTGGTTCTTCCCAGCCTCCAGTTGTGTATAAGCTACCCCGTCCATGCTTGTCTGTGATAGCAGACCGTACAGACTAAAAGAGCTAGCAAATGTCTTTTACTTTAAACAGTAACAATTATTGCTCACAGGACTTAGGTTATTCCAGACAGAAGTCTACATACTTATATATAAGCTTATTCAACCCCCATGACCCTGGGAGTTGGTACTATCACCATTCCCATTCTATAGATGAGGAAAACAGAGAGCTGTAACTTGCCCAAGATCACACAGTCAACTGCAGAGCGAAGATTCTGAACCCAGTAGTCTGGCTTCATTGTCCACACCCTTAACATCTACATCAGGGGTCAGCAAAGTCTCTCTGTAAAGGGCCAGAGGACAAATATTTTAGGCTTTGTAGGCCAGAGCGCCTCTGTCACAACGACTCATCTCCGCTCTTGCAGCATAAAAGCTGCCACAGACAACAGCTAAACTATGTTTGCCATGCTCCATGAAGATATCATTTATGGGCACCAAAATATAAACTTAGGTGATTTTCACATTGTTTTTCATTCTTTTTCAATCACTGAAAAATGTTAATACCATTTGTGGCTAATGAGCTATACAAAAAGAGGTGGCAGGCCAGATTAGGCTAGTTTGCCAACTCCTGTCCAACATCATATATTGTGTTACTGTGTGTCACCTAAAGGGCTGGTCTGTAAATTTCTAAATGACAGTGACATGAGGATGCTGACAGCTAACACTTACTGAGATTTCACTATGTGCCAGGAACCTTTACGTTTTTCTAGACATTGTACATGCATTAACTTAATTAATCCTTCTAAGAACCATATTAAGCCAGTACCATTTATCATCCCCATTTTTACAGATGAAGAAAATGTGGCCATTTAAGTTGCCTTGAGGTTAAATTATACAGTGATCAAATGCTAGAGCTAGCATCTGAACCCAGGCAGCCTGACTCCTTAGTCCACACCTGTACCATGACACTATCATATCTCGATTAAAATGTTCCACTCAGGGACACCTGGTTGGCTCAATGGTTGAGCTTCTGCCTTCGGCTCAGAGAATGATCCCCGGGTCCTGGGATTGAGTCCTGCATTGGGCTCCCTGCAGGGAGCCTGCTTCTCCCTCTGCCTATGCCTCTGCCTCTCTCTGTCTCTCATGAATAAAATCTTTAAAAAAATAAATAAAAGTTTCTACTCAGACGGCAGCCATAATGCCCTATATCCATTCATGCTGATGATGAAACAAGATGGACTAGGCAACATGACTTTCAGATAAAACAAATTTTCTCCAACTCATGTCCAGATCAACCTGCTTCATTCAAGGGTATGCAAAATACTCTCATATGTGCACGTCCTATACTCATTCCCATTGTTAGCATGGACATGTGCAGATTTCCAAAAGGGTTCCAAACGTTACACTATACTGAGAGAAAACATAATGGTACACTCAAATTCAAAAGAATTTGATTTCAGGGATCCCTGGGTGGTGCAGCGGTTTGGCGCCTGCCTTTGGCCCGGGGCGCGATCCTGGAGACCCGGGATCGAATCCCACGTCGGGCTCCCGGTGCATGGAGCCTGCTTCTCTCTCTGCCTGTGTCTCTGCCTCTCTCTCTCTCTGTGACTATCATAAATAAATAAAAAAATAAAAAAAAAAGAATTTGATTTGGTGCTCTCACTCTTAATCTTAAAAATGAGAGAGATTATAAAAGCAAACAGAAAACAAAAACAAGTTTATCCTTACACAAAGATACTCAGTATTAATACTCTATAGGAAAAAAAAATGAAAGTCTTTTGTAAGAAAAAATGTCTTAAAGAAGGTTTTTTTGGTTCAATTCAATTAATTTTTAAGGCATGTGAATGAAAAATCAGTAATTTTTTTTTTTTTTGTAAAGTCTACTTTTTTTACACCAAAAATTCTAGCTTTTGAGGCTCTAGTATTGTTCCATCCAAATACAACTTTTAAAGTATTCTGATTTCAGGGCAGTCCAGGTGGCTCAGTGGTTTAGTGCTACCTTCAGTCCAGGGCGTCATCCTGGAGACCCAGGATTGAGTCCCACGTCGGGCTCCCTGCATGGAGCCTGCATCTCCCTCTGCCTGTATCTCTGCCTTTCTCTCTCTCTCTGTCTCTCATGAATAAATAAATTTTTAAAAATCTTTAAAAAAATAAAATAAAATAAAAATAAAGTATTTGGATTTCATATAAATTTAATAAACTAACCCACGAAGTTAAGAAAAACTTCTAGGAATGTATTCACGGGAAATAATCAGGGATAAAGGACATTTCCAGGTATAAAAATGATTACCATAATACTATTAAGTAGCAAAACACTGGCTATAAGAGAGGTTTACACATTCTTCTACCGAATATTTTCTGAATCAGTCATCAGGGTGTTCCAAATCCATGCCTGTGTTAGGTGTACTTGGAGCAAAAAACCAGATATATTAAGTAGATATACAGTATGCTGAAATGTGCTAAGAGTTTAAAAAAAAAGAGTAAAGCAGAGAAGATGTGAAGAATTTGGGTGGGAGTCTTTGAAAGTACAGAGAGCGCAATCAGGAAAATGAGAAGGCAATTTTTGAGGAAGCAAAGTGAGTGATGGAGGAGGATGGTAAAACAAAGGGCCAGGTAGGGTCAATAAGGGTGCTGTCAGCACATCAAGGATGTGTCCTTCATTCGGGGATGCCCTGGGAGGGTTCTGAACAGAGAGTGACATGGCAGTTAGAACAGACCCTGCCTGGCTGCAGTGCTGGGATGTGACTGCAGGGAGTACATGTAGAAGCAGGAAGTCACAGAAGCAGAGCCCAGGGACCAATAGTAAGATAACAAGCACCAATGCAGCGATGGTGGCTGTGGGTGTGATGATCATCGACAAGTTCCTAATATAAAGTGAAAATGGCACTGACAGGATTTGCAATGAGGTAAATACAAGGAGTGGGGAAAGAGGGGACAATGATGCAAAGGTTTCTGGCTGAGTAACTGACAGCATGAAACTGCCATGGTCTGAAACAGAGACAACTGTGGGAGCAGCCAGTTTGGGGGGAACCTTAGAATTCAAATGTGAATGTGTTAGGTATGAGTTACCTATTCGATATTCAATATTCAATATTCCTCAAGGAGGAGTCACGTTGGACACTCAGGCATGGAACTCAGAGCAGAGATTTGAGCTGGAAAGGCGAATTTGGAAGAAGCCTTCCTGTGGCCAGTTTCTATAGATGAGAAAAAACTGACCTCCTCAGGGGAACAAGGGCACACAGACAAGAAAGGAGAGCCAAGAACACAACCTGGAGACACACCGACAGCTGTAGGTCAGGGGAGGAACCAGCAGTGAAAACTGAGAAGTCAGGAAGGTGGGAAAAAGGCCAGTTGAGTGTTGTGTCCTAGAGGCCAAGGGAAAAAAAGGCCCTGTGGATAGCAAGGGATGAGCTATGTCAAGGGTTGGAAGCCCCCCATTTTTGTAAATAAAGTTTTATTGGAACACAACCCTGCCCATTCATTTACCTATTGTCTATGGTTGCTTCAGTTCTAGAAGGCAGAGTTGGGCAGCTGCAACAGAGACCTTATGGCCTGTAGAGCCTAAAATATTTACTATCTACCTTTTAGAGTGAAAGTTTGCCAACCCCTGAGCTACTTCAAATGCCAACGATAGTCAAAAAAGACTGAGGACTAGGCAGTGCATCTGGTAATGTGAGATCACTGGTAATTTGGTTAAAAGTACTTTGGGTGGTACAACTGGAACCTAGTCCACATATTTATGAGGCACAGAAAACAGAAACAAACAAAACTATTTGATGGTATTTTAAGAAGCCACATAATCGAGTAAGAAAAAGACAACTTCTCATATTGCTCCGGTGCTGCCCTTTCCTCTTCTGCCTGCCAAAGATCCCCTCTCTCTTCAAAACATGGCTCAAAAATCACTTTCTGGGGAGAGAGCCCCTCCCTTCCCCCACAGGCAGCCAGAAGCCAAGAGCTCCTCTAGGCAGCTCTCACCTGCCCTCAAGAACCTTGTTTGCTTGCTTCCATGACTTTCCACCAACAGACTGTGAGCAACTTGGGAGCAGGGACTGGGCTTAACCATCTGTTTCTCCAGGGACAGGCACCAAGTGGATACCAAATAAAACAGGTATAGCACAAGCAGCTGTGGTGCTTGCCCCCAGGAGAACCTCTTGGCTCCATCAGAGTCCCCTCTCAGAGTCTGTCTCAGAACAGTGGCACAGCGCAGTGCTGAATCACTCCACCAATGAAGAATGAACACTGAATGGGATGAAGAGGAAGCAGGGAAGGAAGCCCTGGGCTACCCCTGTAGCCCATCACTCACCAGAATGTAAGGAAATGGGAAACAGCTCCCAGGACAGCTCTCTTAAACGGAAAACTTTTAAAAGAAAATAAACATTATTAAGTCCTGAAAAGCACGGCTGCGTTTCAGACAAGAAAGTGGAAATGCCAACTCACCTGAGACATGGCTTTCAGTTCCGTTCTCGCCCCTGATGCCTCCTGCTTGTGCCTCCTCTCCCGGAGAAGGGCAGTGGCCCTAGAAGGCAGAACTGGGGGGAAAGAGAGGAGTTGGAGAAGGAGTCTACACCGCGCTCATCACCTGCCTGAAATCGGCTCCTTCTTGCAGAGCCTTAAACTACAGCCATACATCAGGAAGCGCTTCAACAAGTGAAGAATGAAATGCTCTCGGGCACGAGCAGATGGGACCAGTCTTGCAGGGACGGACCTGTACACGACCATCATTCCACCTAGGGGCTGCCAAGGAGGGAGAGGGGTTTCCTCTCTCAGGAGCATGGACTAGAATGGTGTCCGGCTAGGCCGCCCTCCCTCCCTGCACCGCTGCTTGATGCTCGGACTCAGGGTAAACTTCCATACCTTCGAGGGATGATTCCTCCATATACCAGCCCCAGAACCGAGGGACCCCCATTCTGCAGCACGTGGGCCCGAGAGGCCTCTGCCCCAGACCTCAGCCTCCCCACACTCTGAGGGGGTGACTCCGTCCCCGACCACCTGTCACCCTCACCTCGGTTCTCCGGCCTCATGGTCACCGCTGCTCGCGGGCCCCTGCAGGACAGGCCGTTCCTCGCGCGCAGCCTTCCCCGAGCAGGGCGAGCGAAGGCGGCCGGGGTCCCCGCAGTCCGGCCTCGGCCCGACCCGGGCTTTGTGCGGGGAGCGCCTCGGCGGGGCGGGGACCCCTGCCCGCGGGCCCCCGCGCTCGCCGCTCCCTGCATGTCGTAGAGGCGCGCGCGCTCGCTGCCCCCACCCACCGCGGGCACGCCCGGCGTCCAGCGGGCCCCGCCCCGCCCCGCCCCTCCAGGCGCCCCTGCGGCCGCCGAGCCCCCCGACCCGGCCGGCCGCACGAACCCCGGCCGCCGACCGTCGCCGGAAGTGGTCGTAGGCGGCCACCGCAACGCTCTCTGGGAAACGTAGTCCCGGCCAGGGCGGAGTCAAAACTGAGCGAAGCGCAAGCCACAATGCGTCGGCCCTCCCTGGACCGACCCAGCGTCTGTCGTCTCCTCTCCGGGCCGGCCGCTTCTGGCTCTTCCTGAGCGCGGCCCCCGGTGGTTGTGGACACCCGACACAGGCCTGGCCGGAAGTAAAGGCCTCCCCGACGTTTCGACGACACCCCACGGGCTTCTGGGAATCGGCGCTGGGTTCGGATTCGCGCAGGCGCAGTTCCCTGGGGAGCGGAGCTGGCGAGAGGGGCGGGGCTGCGGTGAGGGGCGGAGCCGCGGGGCTGACACGGTGGCTGCGGGAGGTGGACCGAGTGTGGGCGCAGGACAGCGCTGGGCCTTGGCGGCATCTGCAGTGTGATTCTGCTGGGGCCATGTGAACACAGCGTGCCTTCCCGTCCGACTCGCGGCGCGCCTTTGACCCCAGGTGGCGCCCGTGTCCTGGACACTCGGGCCCCCGGCCCCTACACCCACCCTCCATGTGCCACTCCCCTCTGCTTGTGGCCTTCCCCTACACTGTCGTTGGGGCTCGTTCCCAAACTGTCACTCGCAGTCACGAATGCCGGTCGCCTCGTGACCTTCTGAAATCTGCTGCAGTACCTTCATCGTTACCTGAATTAACTGATGTTTTTATTCATTCACGCGGTTGGGCCAGTCCTAACCCTGGAGCTGAGAGCCTCGTTCGGCTCACTTAGCACTGGCATAATGCGGTTGCGACACTCAGCATCACACACCCAAGAGGCGTCCTGTTACATTTATAGGACATTTTGTAATGTCATTTAAGGCAGGAAAGAGATGAGGGGTAGCCAGGGGCTGGGGGCAAGAGGAGGAGACAAAACAAAGGTCTTATGTATCTTGATCGGAGCCGTTACACAACTATGAATTTGTCAAAATTCTACACCTAAGGTGAGTACATTTTACTGCACTAGCTTTTAAAAACTCATTAAATTTTATACTTATTATCTGTGTGTAAATATTTTCTCGTTAAAAATAAAGTTGGAGTGGCTTAGATGGTTAAGTGTCTGCCTTCAGCTCACATCCTCATCTCCCGTTCTGGGATCCAGGCCCATGTTGGCTCCAGGCTCAGCGCAGAGCTTGCTTCTTCTTCTTCTTCTTTTTTTTTTTATTGGTGTTCAGTTTGCCAACATTTAGCATAACACCCAGTGCTCATCCCACCAAGTGCCCCCCTCAGTGCCCATCACCTAGTCACCCCAACCCCCCACCCACCTCCCTTTCTACTACCCCTTGTTCATCATTTCCCAGAGTTAGGTGTCTCTCATGTTTTGTCACCCTCACTGATATTTTCACTAATTTTCTCTCCTTTCCCTTTATTCCCTTTCACTAATTTTTATATTCTCCAAATGAATGAGACCATATAATGTTTGTCCTTTTCCGATTGACTTTTTTCACTCAGCATAATACCCTCCAGTTCCATCCAGTCGAAGCAAATGGTGGGTATTTTTCGTTTCTAATGGCTAATATTCCATTGTATGCATATACCACATCTTCTATATCCATTCATCTTTCGATGGACACTGAGGGTCCTTCCACAGTTTTGCTATTGTGGACATTGCTGCTATAAACAGTGGGGTGCAGGTGTTCCAGTGTTTCACTGCATCTGTATCTTTGGGGTAAATCACCAGCAGTGCAATTGCTGGGTCATAGGGAAGTTCTATTTTTAACTCTTTGAGGAACCTCCACACAGTTTTCCAGAGTGGCTGCACCAGGAGGAGCTTGCTTCTCCCTCTCCCTCTGCCTCTCCCCTGCTATCTTTGTCTCAAATGAATAAATAATTTTAAAAAAAAAAGTCATAAAGGGATCCCTGGGTGGCACAGTGGTTTAGCGCCTGCCTTTGGCCCAGGGCGCGATCCTGGAGACCCAGGATCGAATCCCATGTCGGGCTCCCGGTGCATGGAGCCTGCTTCTCTCTCTGCCTCTCTCTCTCTCTGTGTGTGTGTGACTATCATAAATAAATAAATAATTGTTATCTTAAAAAAAAAAGTCATAAAGCCCTCACTGACATAATAGAACTGAGTTTAAATCACTGTAATTGGGCAGCCCTGGTGGCTCAGTGGTTTAGCACTGCCTTCAGTCCAGGGCCTGATCCTGGAGACCCAGGCTCGAGTCCCACGTCAGGCTCCCTGCATGGAGCCTGCTTCTCCCTCTGCCTGTGTTTCTGCCCCTCTCTCTGTCTATCATGAATAAATAAATAAAATCTTTAAAAAAATAAATCACTTTAACTAAAAGACTTTCTTTAAATTAATGAAATGACCCTGGGGAGGGAGCTCAATTATGAACCAGCAAATAGAAAACCATGGGTAGAGAATATAGCCTGTCCCTTTTCTTTCTGGAATTGGCCTTGGGGTTATAACTGGTGTGTACAACTTCTACTTTATATAATGCCATGCTTCTCTGAGGCTTGACCAACCTCTTAGTCAGGGATAACCTGACCCAAACCATCAATGGCCTGGGTGGTATTGCAAGTGTTTTCCATTTCCATTTACTATTGTGCATGATAGTTCAAGGAAGTGAACCACCGTAATCCTCCCAAGCCCCATGAGTCAGCGTCAGCTCTATTTATTCTTGCCTGTCAGGATCAACCACTGGCTTATCTATCCCTCTAGTGGCATGAGACGTATGGAATGGACAGAGGTCATTACTGTACCCATGGTCATTCCTGATTGAAGATTTCCTCCCAGGATTAAAACCTTAGCACAACCATAATTCAGAATTGGGAAAGAGAAACTAACAATTTTGAACATAGGACATTGTACCCAGACATGGCAATTAGTACAAGTAAATGCCCCAACCATAATGTCTTTCCAGTATTATAAATATATAATTTTCAATATATATTTTTTCAGATTTCCAGTATATAAAAGCAGCCCCACCCCACCTTTTTAGCTTTATAAAACCAAATGCTATATTTTCCCCTTCTTAAAAAAAAAAATCTGCTCTCCTAATGGCAGGAGCTTAAAATGGCCAGGTGGCGTGCAGCTTCTGATTTAATGATATCATTACCATTTGCCCTAATGGAAGAATTCCTCTGTTTGGTGCTAAAAACAAACCTCCGTATCACCAGAATCCAGAAGCATGAGATAAAGAACCAAAAGTTTTAATGCGAGTCATTTAGCATACACCTACCTTTTAATGCACCTTTTAATGCATTCTTGATAAAAGTGCCACTAAGTGAAAAGCTAAGAAAAGATTTCCAATACATTTAATATAAAAATGATGAGGCTTTTACAACCCAACCCTAAGTACTCAATTTTTACAGATAGAAAAATAGATTAACTGCACAATGAACACAGGTCTATAAGAGTAAAAAAAATATTGAGAGCAAAAATACAGTTCACACATAAAATGTAATGTAATGAAGATTCATTTACTTGCTAAAGTGGAAACAGAAGGGCAGCCCGGGTGGCTCAATGGTTTAGCGCCGCCTTTAGCCCAGGGCCTGATCCTGGAGACCTGGGATTGAGTCCCACATCTGGCTCCCAGCATTGGGCCTGCTTCTCCCTCTGCCTGTGTCTATGCCTCTCTCTCTCTCTGCCTCTCATGAATAAATAAATAAAATCTTTAAAAAAAAAGAAACAGAAGACTTGGTAGGTGGTGGTGCAAAGGAGTCATTTTTTTCAGGAAGAATATTCTTCTTTCTGTTCCCCCTCAGTGTTTCAACCTTTTGGGGGACTTAAGATTATCTCACTTGTTTCTGCTTCAGAGTAGTCATGTCACAGAAAAAAGCAAAATATAGGGACACCTGGGTGGTCCAGTGGTTGAGCATCTGCCTTCAGCTTGGGGTGTGATCCCAAGGTCCTGGGATCGAGTCTTGCATTGGGCTCCCCACAGGGGAGCCTATGTCTCTGCCTCTCTCTGTATATCTCTCATAAGCAAATTTTAAAAATCTTTTTTAAAAAACAAAAAATAGTCTAAATGAAATAATACAAAACATACCTCTTGCCAGTATGCATTAAAAAGCACAATATTTGTGTTCGTGTACATATGGCATGCAATTCAAATTTGTTCCACATGATAGCCTCTGACTAGAAACTGTTATGCTGCATAAACTGGTGAGTGTGCTTTGTCTGATAGCCTAATGTTGAAATACTATTCTTTATAGTATACTTAGTGTATCTACTTCTCAGTGATGGGGGTGCAAGGAGTAGCAAATAATTCTTCAATATTCCTCCAACCACTGAGCACACAGGGACATCACTAAGGTGGCAGCTCCCAGTGTTGTCTTAGGATTTGATTCAGACTAGCATGAATGTTACCAAACCAAGTAGGAATAACTAGTTTTGAGTTTATTTATCAGGCTTTAGTCAGGAAACACATACACCATGGGGCTCAGTAGAGGGAATTTAATGCAGAGAACTAATGACAAAGCTGCTGGGAAAAGTGAGAGAACAGGGAGGCCACTCAGATCAGTAATGGGAGAGCAGTTACCAACACTAGAGCTTGAAGGCCAAAGGGTAGAGGGGATATTATCATAGCCATGAATCAGGGCCACCTGAAGAGCTAGACCAATCCACAGGGAATTCCCTAGCAGGAACTGGGACTGTAAGAAGAGGTGACTGGAGGGAAGTAGAGGCAATGTAGCTATCATCATTGTGACCACCCGAAGCAGATTGAGAGAGAAATACCGACTTCTCCCCAACTCTCACCTTTCCATATATTGCTAGTGCCTCCAACTTGGTAAACTAGACAGAAAACCAGTGGCAAAGGACTCTAGGAAATGTCACCTGCAGAGCTTAAACACATGCAATAGAGTGTAGTACAGGGGATAAGGCAGAAAATGGATCTTACAGAGAACAGGCAAACGACTGTCACAGGATTCCACAGGCCTATTCAAGAATTGCTCCATAGTCCTCCAGAATGACTGTAGTATATGTCCCTATAGCTCAGAATTCTTCCAAAAATGCTGGTTATTTCCTTTTCCCTAGTATGCACTTACCTTGGTAAATGGCTGCAATTCTTTTGCAAATCCTAAGAGTAAAGGTCATAGTGGTGTTATAGGAAGGTTTTCCTCAGGGGTACCAAGCCTCCTGTCCATAAACCCAGATCTGGGAACAGGATGACAGACAGTTTCTAGTGTGGGTGATAACTGGACTGAGTGAGGCTTTTAGACAACAGAACTGAAGTGCTAAATAGGCAAATAAAGTAAACTTTCAGTGGTTGACTACTGATTTGTAGACTTGCTAATAATCACAGCCAGCAATCTGTCAGACCATCAGTGGTATGCTGGTAAAGTTTGACACGAGGCTCTCCAAGGGAAAGAGGTGTGTGTATACTATATGCAATAAATTTATTGTAATTTTACAGATGTGTAGCACACATTTAGAAATAATAGCAAAATGCAATACTCTTGGATTGTCAATTCTGTATAGCAATTGATTCTCTTAGAATGCTTCTGTTGACTTTAGCTATGTAAGCTTAAAACTGACAAGTGGGTAGAATTCTGACAATGTTGGCTGATATTTTTGTTTACTTTAAAGAGTAAGATCAAAGTGAAACAGGAGGACATAGGTCAGCACTTCACTTGTTATGTCAATGATAGGACTATTATTATCTTTGCTAAATAATAGCTTTTGAATACTGGAAGAATATTTCCTCTACTGTTTGTGCAGTTCACAATGTACAGACATGACACATTTTTAAGTTTAACCTTAATTCCTAACATTTTCTCTGTCAACTTTTAAAGTCGACCAGCCTTGAATTGTAGTGTATGCTGTTAAATACTCCCATCATACTTGAGTTAAAGTTACCAGCATGTTGTCACTGAATGCAGAGTTGGAAAGATGCACAGCAGCAACTATTATGTGATATGTCTCTTCTACAAATTTTAGTCATATAAATAAAATATGGTAAATAAATGCTCAAAACTCAGATTCCAAACTATTGTCTGTTTTTAATATAACTTGCTGGTTATAGTATAAATTTAGACTATAAACATATATATACAATGTTATACATTACCTAGTACAAACACGTATTTACAGGTTTATATGTCTACACACGTATAAACACACATACACGTTCAACTTTTAACAACCAGTTCACAAAAAACTCCTAAAAATATAACAATTAGCTCTTGCGTGCCAGAATGAGCCTGCCCAAGCGTGCCACCAAATCAACTGCTCTGCTTCTGATGAGTTGCTGCTAGGGCTCAGCATTCCCTGGGCTGCTCCACTTGCTAGAGATCAGAAATCCCTTTCTAAAAGCAATCTCCCTTCCCAGCATGCCAGTCATCATAAGGTTGGAGAGTAAAGTACTCTCTAAAGATAGTAATGCTTTCTTTTCTCGTGGCACAGGTTCAAGGAAAGGCATTTTGGCCCTGTCTCAGGGAGCCTAATGACAAGGTAAGAGAAACTCAGGCATGAGAAAACAAGTTCAGCATCCCAAATTTTTCAGTTCCTTCCTGCGTATCAGGCAAGGTCATTTCTGCAATTTAAATCACTTAGTTTCAGTTAGGACTTAAGAGATTTGCATTTAATCTACCCAGAAAACTGAGAAGAGCATAAACTGCATAAATTACCACATCAAATATGTAATACCCTGTGTGTATACCGTAAATTCAGCCCAGTTCAAAATTTTGTTTAATATCTGAGGCCAAGCACCATTAAAACCCATTTTTCCAGCCATTTTCTAGACTTTGATATAAATGTTGATACTTTGGGGAGTCTCTCAACCTTTCCCTAATCTCTTTTATCAACCTCTAGGTCACTTTAGAATCAGATTTTTTTCCCTTTAAATCATGGAGCCACAGTAAGCTAAAAGGGAAATAGGCTAACCTTTAACCTTCATCCACAGCTATCTCAGGCAAAGGATAATTAGTTGGTATGGTTTCTTAAGGTTTCTTATGGTCTTAAGAGTTTTAATCCCCAAATTCTTCCACAAATCATCATTCCAATAACCAGGATACCAACTGTCCCTTGATGTCAAACATTTTACTTATGAAATCTGCCACAATTGTGAATTCACTTCGCATTGTAGCTAATTCTTTGATAGCAATCACAGACAAAGAGCTACAACTAAGAGTCTTTTAACTATGTTACAAAAATGGCTGGTGTCCTAGTCCATGCTTTAAGCAAAGATTTTAAAAAGTCATTATTGCTTTTGCTTTATAATCTCCAATTCCATTATGAACAAGCATCATACAAACCCCCTCAGACGCATTTTTTGTCATTTTAAGTGATCTAAAAATGATCTCAACCATAGCTGATTAACTGTTTTACTGCTGCTATCAAAGCATGCTACTTGCATGGCACAAAATATGAATAGGAGCCTTATAATCCTTTGCTCCATTTCATCCTATAATCAATCTTTAATAATAACGCACATTTTCTCAGGATGTTTTGCCCGAAATCCATTCAAGGATACCAACTTCTGTATTGATTAGGTTTCTTTGGTTGATAGCAAAAGACCTTAATCTAATTTTAAAACGAAAACAACATACTAGTAGGATACAACTTGGAAAGAACATGAAACAGGTCAGCTCTAGGGAGCAGAGCAGCAGGAACATAATATCTTTAAGTTGTGGCCAAAGGATGACTCATTTTCAACTTTCTCCTGTGTCCCAAGGAGTTTCTGATTGGATTAAAATGAACCAGGTGCAACTGGCAACACAAAACCTCACCTAATGACATCAGGGAAAAAATTATGTGTATTTCTGTGTGCATGGGTTTAATTTGTATCATAGACAAAAACAAATATCTGATGTGTATGTATTTTCATAAGTTTAACTTTATAAATATTTGATATAACCATGCAATCATAATTATGAAAATTACACCCTCAATTAGTAAATTATGTCTTTCTGTGAGTAGAAAAATCTACCTCAATCTTTTTAGTGCCTGCGTAATCTACTGAATTTTCTGTAATTTAACTAGTTTACTAGTGCTAGACATTTAAGCTGCTCCAAATTTCTTGCAATTCTATAATAAATGTGCTTATGCATCTATATTTCTGTACTTGTGCTTTGCAAGAAGATAAATTCCTAGATTTAAAATCTCAGCAAAGTGATTAGTTACATTTAAAATGTTGACAGGTAACACATTAGCTTTTAAAATGGCTTTTAACTAATTTATCCTCCCAATGTATAAAAATAGATTTCTCACATCTGCAACAGTACTGGATATTATCCATAAAATTTGTGCTGGGTTATATTGGTGGCAAAGGCTTTTTAAAATTTTAATTTATCTGATCATTATTAAAGTTAGGAACTTCCTCTATTTTATTTGACGATTTCATGTTCTGCAACTGTGAGTTGCTTGTTGGTGTGCTTTGTCAGACTATATCTTATCCTTGCTGTTTTTCAACAGCATTTTTTATAAGGGCTATATCCTTCATAATACATATACAACATTTAAAATATCTCATAGCCTGTCATGTGCCTTTTAACTTTGCATAGCCTTATACCATGGAAAAGATCTAAATCTTTTACATGCCCCTTCCTGTCACTCTCTCTTCATGGCTTCTGGACTCTGTGTCCAGCTTACCAAGTCTTCTTGAACTCAAAGAGAAATATTCTATATCCTCTTCTAAAACTTTGTGTTTCCTATTACATCTTTAATCCATATTCAAGGAACTTCTCTTTAAGGAGTAAAATGTGGCTCTGATTTTACTTCCAGTTGGTTAACTGTTGAACACCATTTAAATAATCCATTTCCCCCACTGATAATGAAAAATACCACTTTTGTGGGGTGCCTAGCTGGCTCAGTCAGAGGAGCATGTGACTCTTGATCTCAGGATTGTAAATTCAAGCCCCATATTGGGTGTAGAGATTACTTAAAACTAAGTAAGTAGAAACTTAAAAAATTACTATTTTTACAATAAATTGAATTCAGGGGTATATGATCTTTTCCAAAAATTTCCTATGATGCTTGCCTATTTACCTCTCTACAGGATCTTCAGAACAAAAATGTCAACATAAAACTATCCTACAGTTATCATGACTGAAACTGAATGAATGTAGACATCTTTATAGCATTGAAACTTCCATCTAGATCTAGAAACAGATATGGATCTCCATTTATTCAGAACTTCTGTTTTCCTTCAGTACAGATTATAATTTCCTTTCTATATAGAACCATAAGTAAATTAATCTATCATTTCATTTAGGGGGGTTGATAACAGAACTGAATTAGCCTCATGAAAAAAATATCCAAATACTTCAAATTATTACATTTTAAGTATTTTTTCTATACTCTACAACACTTTAATTAGTAGTTCCTTGAAAGTTTAGATTAAGTCTGTGAGCCTGGGTGTTTTAAAATAGGGCTAAACTATTCAAGTTCTCTATTGTTTCAGTTTTAAATACTAAGGAATTTTTAGTTTTTTTTGCCTTTATTAACTATAGTCTTATCTTCTTCCCAATAAATTCTAATTCTATTGTTTCAGTGATATCCAGAGCTTTAGATACTTCCTAAAACATATTCTATGTACCAGGTCACACTGAATTTCTGACCAAAAAGGGAACACAGCCTAGGAGTCATGAGAGAGCCACTGTTATTCTAATAGCAAACTTTAAAAATACTACATGTTAATCCTCATTATCCACCTTAAGATGTTTCAGTTACAAAATTATTATAATCTCCCAGTACTGATATACTGCTTTCCAGAATTCACTCTTCAAAAGTAATTTTGAAGCAGGCTCTGAATGATACTGACTTAACATTTACCAAGCACTTAGTCTGGGTCAGGCACCATGCTAAGCACTTCATGCGCATCAGATAGTTTAAATTTTCATAATCAAGGTTTTAAGAGGCAAGTAGTTTGATTACATTTACGTGTTTAAAAAGACCACCATGACAGTAGTGTGAAGAATGAACTTGAAGGGAATGAAACAGGATGTAAGACAAGTTTTTATATTGGAACAGTACAGGTGAAATGACTGTGTTTTGGAGTAGGACAATGAGGATTAAAAGTGGATGAATTCCAAAAATACCTAGCAGATATATTCATGGGCCTTGGTGACATAGGAGGTGAGGAAGAGCTGGATGCCTGAGATGACTCTACAGCATGAACTTTCTGATGATGAGTAAGGTGTACACTTTGTCTAAAGACCTTTCCACATTCCTTACATTCATAAGATCTCTCTCCAGTATGAATTCTTCTATGCAGATTAAGGTGTCCAATTTGACTAAAGGTTTTCCCACATTCATGACATTCATACGGTTTTTCTCCAGAATGAATTCTCTGATGAACAGTAAGGGATTGACGATGGCTAAAGGCTTTACCACATACACTACATTCATAAGGTTTCTCCCCAGTATGACATCTTTGATGACAAATAAGAGATGATTTTGTTCTAAATGCCTTCTCACATTCAATACATTCATAGGGCCTTTGGCCGGTATGGAGTCTCCGATGCTGAGAACGGGATGAGCTATCACTAAAAGCCTTTCCACATTCACTACATTTATAGGGTTTTTCTCCAGTATGAATTCTCTGATGTTGAATAAGGCGGGTAGTCTGGCTGAAGGCTTTACCACATTCATTACACTCATAAGGTTTCTCTCCTGTATGAATTTTATGATGTTGGGCAAGGTGTGCCCTCTGGTTGAAAGCTTTACCACATTCATTACATTCATAAGGTTTCTCTCCAGTATGAATTCTCTGATGAGTAGCCAGCTGTGAACTGATGCTAAAAGCTTTTCCACATTCTTTACATTCATAGGGTTTTTCACCAGTATGAATTCTCAAGTGACTAGCAAGGTGTATACTCTGTCTAAAAGCTTTCCCACATTCCTTGCATTCATAAGGTTTCTCTCCAGAATGCACTCTTTGATGTTGTGTGAGTGATGCATGATGGCTGAAGGCTTTCCCACAGACAACACATTCATATGGTTTCTCTCCGGTGTGAATCCTCTGATGGACAGTAAGGGAGGAGCCATAACTGAAGGTTTTTCCACACACTTGACATTTAAATGGTTTTTCTCCAGTATGAATTCTCCTATGCTGAATAAGGCCTATGTGATCACTGAAAGCTTTCCCACAATCAATGCAATCAAAAGGTTTCTCCCCAGTGTGATAATACCTCCAGTGACGAATAAGGGATGTGTTCTGCCTGAAGGCTTTCTCACATTCAATACATTCATAGGGTCTTTTGCCAGTGTGACATCTCTGATGTCGGGCAAAGGATGAACCATCACTGAAGGCTTTCCCACATTCCTTACATTCATAGGGCTTCTCCCCCGTATGAATTCTCTGGTGCTGAGCAAGATGTGCAGGTTGGCTGAAGGCTTTTCTACATTCCATACATTTATACGGTTTTTCTCCAGTATGAATTCTTTGATGTTGAATAAGGTGTACATTTTGGCTGAAGGCTTTCTTACATTCTTTACATTCAAAGAGTTTTTCTCCAGTATGTATCCTGTGATGTTGCACAAGGTGTTGACTCTGGTTAAAGGCTTTCCCACATTCTTTACATTCATATGGTTTTTCACCAGTATGAATTCTCTGATGAACAGTAAGGGAGGAGCTGTGGGTAAAAGTTTTCTCACATTCATTACATTTAAAAAGTTTCTTTCCTGCATAGACTTTCTTGTGTTTTACTACCACAGAATTTTGGGAAAAGCTTTTTTTATCTAACTTGTGATTATAAACATTTTCTTCTACATTGTCTAGATAGACAAATTTCCCAGATTTGTTGTATTTGTGATCTATTTCCTTAGTAAGGGTCTTGTTATGAGTGATTACTTCTTGCCTGATAAACGTCTCTTGACTTACCAACTGCCTCTCAAAAATATCTTCACATTTCCAATTTTTTCTGAAAGTAGAACACTCAAGTCCATAGCGTGTAATTCTCTCCATTAACACATCATCATACATAAAGTGCTTCAGAGGTAATTCTTGTGTCTCATATGTAGATCCCGAATCTGAAAAATATCAAAAAAGCAAATGCCTCCTTTATCATGGGATATAACAAAAGAAATATTTAATGTGGAAAAAAATAGTGAATCCCACAAAATCTATTATGTAACGGCACATCAACTGAAAACTATGCAAGTGGATTTCAGAGCTCAGGGAAACATGGAAAAACTGATTAAGAGAATTAAATGTAGGATAATGAGGTCTCAGAAAAGTAGGCTACAATAATAATATTTTATTTTATCCTGTATTAACATAGAAGACTATAAATTAAACACCATTCCTCTGTTCTTTTTTTCCTAAGAGTTTATTTATTTGACAGCACGAGCAGGGGGAGTGGCAGAGGGAGAGGAATAAGCAGGCTCCCCACTGAACAGGGAGCCCAATACATGACCTGAGCTGAAGGCAGACCCTTAACTGAAGCAGACGAGCCATTCAGGTGCCCCCATTCTTCTATCCTTTCTCATTTCTAGTCGACTTACACATATAGGTAGGTTAATGTTGCTCAAATATCAGTATCATCACATAATTTCTGCTGATCAAAAATCTCCACAGATTCCCAGCAACCATAAACACCTTAAGCTTCATGACTTCCCTTGGGGTTTAGGTAAATTCCTAGACTAATCTTTTCATAACTAGAAAATAGTGTTTGTATGTATCATTGCTATATGTTTCAACACAGTGAACTCTTCATTTCTCAGAGATCCTTGAACTTCAGGCTGCATGGTAAGGCATTTTTCCATTCACCTTCTCACTTTCACCAGCTTACTAAGAGCGTCACTTCCCAGGCCACATCTTTTTTTTAAAGATTCATTCATTCATTCATTCATTCATTCATTCATGAGAGACAGAGAGAGAGAGAGGCAAGACACAGGCAAAGGGAGAAGCATGCTCCCTGCAGGGAGCCTGATGCAGGACTCAATCCCAGGACCCCGGGATCAGGACCCGAGCCACCCAGGCACCCTTCCCAGGCCACATCTTTATTTTTTAAAAAGATTTATTTATTCATGAGAGACACGCACAGAGAGAGAGGCACAGACACAGGCAGAGGGAGAAAAGCAGGCTCCACACAGGGAGCCCGACATGGGACTCAATCCCGGGACTCCAGGATCACACCCTAGGCCAAAGGTGGTGCCAAACTGCTGAGCCACCCAGGCTGCCCCCCCCCCCCCAGGCCACATCTTAATGGGGTTTTGCCATAAGTCTTTTTGAATAAACTACTTTCATAATGGTATGTAGGTGGGTATTACTATTATTAAGTTCTTTTTATGGCCACTTAAAATACCTTTCTTGCCTTGTGAGCTAGAATATAAGCTTCAGGGAAGAAATAAAAAAATGCTTTAAACACTGCTACTAAGTCACTTAATGTATATCACAGAAACTCAGGCATATATAAGTTCTCTTATTTTTTTTAAGATTTTATTTATTCATAGAGACACACACAGAGAGAGAGGCAGAGACGCAGGCAGAGAGATAGAGGCAGAGACACAGGCAGAGGGAGAAGCAGGCCCCATGCAGAGAGCCTGATGTGGGACTCGATCCAGGGTCTCCAGGATCACGCCCTGGGCTGCAGGCGGCGCTAAACCGCTGCGCCACCGGGGCTGCCCATAATGAAGAAATTTGTATTGAAGACATGATACTAAGAGAAAACTTCAGGGAAAAAGTTGCTATCGAGAAACGCAAAAGAGAAAGTGCTTTCTTTTCCTATCTTATCCATAACAAATTACTGACTAATCCAATGCTCCCTAAAGCAGCTTTCTACTATGTGTCAAGCATTATGGACATTAACATAATAAAAGGCCAACTGTTCTTGAGGAACATAGAAATGAAAATATGAAATATCAAGTGTAAGCCCATGTGGTAAAAAGTAAAGCTCGTATAAAAGTTCAGAGATAGAAGAGATCAAATCTACTAAAGCAGTTAAGAAGGACTTTGAGATGTTAACAAGCTTCCTACCCCTTCCTACTTGTTTCTTTCCTTCCTAACACTCAGCCTTCAGTAATTCTTGAATTGAGGACACAAAAGTTCAATGAATCAATCACCTATGGTTTATATTAAATAGACAACTGAGAGCAGAAATACTGGACAGAAAAACATAAAGCTGGATACATCATGGATTCCTCCCACGAAGGTAGTCTTCAATACCACAACCTCCCAGAAAGGCTCAACCACTGAGCCACCGAGGTGCCTCACAAAGAAAGATTTAAAGCAGTAGGACAGGTTATGATTTTCAAGCACCTATTTTAGGAGTTAAGATTTAAGAAACAGAGAAGCTTATCTAAGTCTATATGGCAAAAGGAAGGAAAAGATGGGAGAGACCAGATAAAGATTTTTACAAATTCAGTTAGCTATTAGAGAGAAGACATTTGGGGAGCCATGGTACATAGTAAAGTTTCAGTTTTCTCCTCAGGATTCGAAGGCATGAGAAGAGTTTCCAAATACGGTAAGAAGGGAGAATGTATCATCTTTGAAAATAGTTGAGCCATTATCTAGAAAGGATTCCCCTATCTGGTTCTCCCATACTCACCTGGGAATGGGCTTCTTGTCATATCAGTCTTCATCTCCCAAGGTTCTTTCCCTTGCTCCAATAAAGAGATCACATATGGCTTGGAGATGCAAAGACCTGCATAAAGAAAAAAAAAAAAAAAGACACGAAAATTGGTCATGTTTTGGGTATTTCAGAACTATAAGCCAGTTCCTTAATACCAATGGAATGACATAACATGAATGATTAGATCAAGCGGTAAAATACATTCTATTTTTTTAAAGATTGTATTTATTTATTCATGAGAGACACACAAAGAGACACACAGGATCATGCCCTGAGCTGAAGGCAGAGATGCTCAACCGCTGAGGCACTCAGGCATTTACCAAGGGGTAAAATACATTTTAGATACAGATTACATAAAGCTTTTGGCATAGTCTAGTGGGACTAGTCAACTCTATAAGTTAAATGATTTTCTAAGAGGCTAGAGGCAGAAATTCTGCCCAGTATTTTCACAGGATCATTAGACAGCCAGTAAGTGATGTATTGTAAAGAACCCCTAGAGACAGAGTTTGGAGTTTGAGTCAAGTTAACTGCCTGCTTTTAAAAACAAAACAAAACTCTTCAGGGACATATAATAGAATCTACAGACTCTATAATGTATTATTTACAATGTCTGAGATAAAATCCAAAATTATTACAACTAAGTAGAAAGAGGAAAAAGTGAATCACACTTAGGAAAATAAGCAATTAATGAAGAGTTAATCAGTGATAACACAGATGTTGGAATTAGTAGACCAGGATTTAATAATCACTATTATATCTATATCTATACCCAAAAAAGTAAAGGAAAATATGCTTAGAATTTCTCAGCAGAAAAATAGAAATTATAAAAGAGAACCAAGTGGAAAGTTTAGAATTGAAAAATCTAGTATCTGAAATTTAAAAATTCACTACTTTGGGGTCACCTCCTTGGTGCAGTCAGTTAACCATCTAACTCTTGGTTTCAGCTCAGGTCCTGACCTCAGTGTTGTGTATCAAGCCCTGTTTTGGGCTCTGTGCTCAGTGCAGTCTGCTTGACATTCTCTCTGCCTCTCCCCTACCATTTGTGTTCGCACTCTCTCTCTTTCAAATAAATAAATCTTTTAAAAAATTTACATTGGCTTAACAAGACATTGAAGACACAAAAAGAGTAAGTAAGGGACACCTGGGTGGCTCAGCAGTTGAGCGTCTGCCTTTGGCTTAGGGTGTGATCCCAGGGCACGGGGTCCAGTCCCTCACTGGGCTTCCTGCATGGAGCCTGCTTCTCCCACTGCCTGTGTCTCTGCCATTCTCTCTGTCTCACATGAATAAATAAAATCTTTTTTTTAAAAAAAAAAGTAAATTTGAAGTTAAGTCAATAGAAACTATCTAATCTGACATTCAAAGAAAAAAGATTTTAAATAATGAACAGATCCTCAGTTACCTAGGGCATAATATCAAAGGTTCTAACATACTTGTAATTGAAATAGTAGGAGGGACAACAGAAAAATTTACTTGAAAAAATAAAAGTAAAAATTACTCAAATTTGATGAAAGGCATACATTTAGTTTCAAGATCAGTGAACCACAAGCAGAATAAAAGGGTTCTCTTAATAGCCAGTGAGGTGGCCCAGTGCCGAGAAGGGTCCAAGTAAGTTTCCTAAGAATATCTGAAGCCATTTTTATAGTTTGTGTCTCACCAGTTCAAGGACCTGAGCTGAAGACAGACGCCCATGATCTCTGGTCCTGGGATCAAGCCCTGTGTCAGGCACCCAGCTCAGCAGGGAGTCTGCTTCTCCCTCTCTCTCTGCCCCTCCACCTCACTCGTGCTCTGTCACTCTCACTCAAATAAATAAATCTTTTTTAAAAATGTTTTAATAATAAATAAGAGTCCCTAATATAATTCTAAATTATGCAGAGAGGAAAATATTCTTACCCAGTGATACCAGGTTCTGATAGTTCTCCAACATCATATTCTTGTACAAATTCCTCTGAACAGGGTTCAACCATTCCCATTCATCCTGGGAAAAGTCTATTGCCACATCTTTGAATGTCACCAAGTCCTAAAATAACATAAATACACTTTTGATCAACCAATGCCCATTTTCATGCATAACTCCAAGTTGAACCTTTAAATTGTTTCTACTTTATGTAAGAAATAGCCCTTGGAAGAGAAAAAAATTAAACCATTATAATATGAAGTTCCAACCTAAAATAATGGTTCTTGAAGTGTTAAACTGCACTGTATGCAAGGCTGCTAACCCATTTCTCAGCATGTGGAAATATGATGGACAGGTGGCCACAGGGCAGTAAATACGAGCCTCAAGGAATAACTTATACCTGTGGTTGAACCTTTAAAAACAAAAAAGATGGGACATCTGGGTGGCTCAATGGTTGAGCGTCTGCCTTTGGCTCAGGGTATGATCCCAGGGTCCTGGGATTGAGTCCCACATTGGGCTCCCTGCAGGGAGCTTGCTTCTCCCTCTGCCTATGTCTCTGCATCTCTCTGTGTCATTCATGAATAAATTTTTAAAAAAACTTTTACAAAAACAAAAAAGATGATCTAAGTTGATATTTTGCAAATGGTCCTCTATGAGATCCCAGTGTTTCAGAAGGGAAGGGGCACTGAACTAATAGGGCCGATTTTATTTTTTCTTACACAATAAGAATAATGAGTATAATTAGAATGCAATTTTCTGATGCTATGCCATTAAGAACTAGCATGACATGGGGCACCTGGGTGGCTCAATGGTTGAGCATCTTAAAAAAAAAAAAAACACAACAAACTGAATGTTGTCCAGCAACAGAATCAAGTTAAGAAATCAGTTAAGAAAGAGATGCAGAAAGAAAAGAAAAGAAAAGAAAAGAAAAGAAAAGAAAAGAAAAGAAAAGAAAGAGATGAATTAGGGATGCCTGGGTGGCTCAGTGGTTAAGAGTTTGCCTTTGGCTCAGGGTGTGATCCTGGAGTTTTGGGATTGAGTCCCACATCGGGCTCCCTGCATGGAGCCTGCTTCTCCCTCTGCCTGTGTCTCTGCCTCTCTCTCTCTCTCTCTCTCTCTCTCTCTCTCTGTGTGTGTGTGTCTCTCATGAATAAATAAATAAAATCTTAAAAAAAAAGAGAGAGAGAGAGAGATGAATTATTCAATAAATGCCACTGGGTCAAATGAAGAGACAAGTGGGTGAAAAAAATGAACCCTTGCCTCACTTATCACAGGTTAAACATTTAATGTAACAATTTAAATTTAATGTAATTTTGAACCTTACTTTCACAGGAAAAAAAATCACAAAAATCAAATCTAAACTTAATCTACATACTTGGGATGGACAAGGGTTTTTTAAACAGAACCCCAAAACACAGAAGCTGTGAAGGGAAAAAACTAACTATATATGAACAGAATAACCCTGAAAGATGTATCTGTCTCCTAAGAACTGAAAAGCAAAGGGCGGTTTTAGGTCTTAAATTTCATTCTATCTATCTATCTCACCTATTTAAATTTTTTTAATTTGTAAAAGTTGGGATGGCTGGGTGGCTCAGTGGTTGAGGTTTGCCTGTGGCTCAGGTTGTGATCCCAGGGTCCTGGGATCAAGTTCCACATCAGGCTGCTGGCGGGGAGCCTGCTTCTCTCTCTGCCTATGTTTCTGCCTTTCTCTCTGTGCCTCTCATGAATAAATAAGTAAAATCTTAAAAAAAAAAAAAAAAAAAGAAGAAGAAGTGGGAGGAGGAGGCTCAGAGGAGGCTCTATGACTCATCATTTTTTTTTTTAAGATTTGATTTATTCATTCATGAGAGACACAGAGAGAAGGAGAGGCAGAGACACAGGCAGAGGGAGAAGCAGGCTCCAGGCAGGGAGCCCGATATCTATGCCTCATCATACTCAGTTTTACTTACCCATTAGGCAGTTTGAGTTAGATAGTGTGTTCTGGGAAAAGTGGGAACCAGGCCTGTCAAGACGACTGTTACTTGAGGAATTTTCAAAAAAGAGGCTTTACTAAGTCCTAAAGACTAAAACTACCTTTCATGGATGAGAATGGAATAACTGACCTGGGATATGGCTTTTACTAGTTCAACAGTCATTTCCACCTTCCCTTCCTGGCTTCTGTCTTGGAGAACAGCAGTGTCCTACAGGACAGGGTGGAGGGAGAGAAAGGGGTGTAAGAAGATGATGCCTGCTCTCTACTCCCAGAATCATCAGCCTAAAAATTCTGTCTTCCCCTTCTTCCTCCCAGTTTTCCTTGATGCCACTGCCCAAATAACTGGAAGATTCTAGGTCACCGATGGCTGCTGAGGACTGTAACTTAGAATTCTATTTCTCTTACGCTTGAGTTCCTAAATCTTTCTCCTAAAAGTTGCCTCCCCCTTCTTTGGTCTTATTTGTACAAGCAAAGGTGGGTCTTTCCCTTCCTGCATCTCTGCTTCATGCTTTGACACAGTCTACAATTTGGAAATCTGACTCTTCAGCACATCAGAGGCCAGGGTTATCACTCCACCCAAATATCCACAGGCCTCGCCTGCCTCTCACGCTGGAACAACAGACAACAGGACAATCTAGCATCCGATTCTGCCACCTTCACGCTCACCTTTGTCTTCAAGTCCCTTGGTTTCCCCTCCTTTTGTTACCTAGAACTGAAGGTGTCTCGTGTTCTAGTCATGGGCTCCAGTCAGGCACCTCACCTACTGCTTTTTACTGGAATTCTTGAACTGGGAGCAGGGAACTCTACTCTTGGATTCTTAGTTCATTGACACAGTACCAAAACCCAACACACATCAAGAAGCTAGTACTATCAATCTTCCAAGTAGTCTCCCCACACACATCAGCCACTCTGGGCCAGCTACAAGCATACAGCATGACACACAAACCCTGACACAAGATCTCACCTACTTCCTGACCACAGAGGACAGAATGCCAAGCACCCAACGGCAGGCACATCCTAGGCAGTCACATACATCATGGTCTCAGAGCCCTGGATACAAACATACATGGTGAAATACAAGCATCACATATACACCCCACAATCTTATTCTCTCACACATAACACGGCTTACTGCCCTCCCATTTCTGTTTTGCTCACTCAAACACACTTCACAACCTAACAGAGGCTATATCTGCAAGCCTTCAGGGGACAATGGGCAGTTCAGTTCACCTGGTCTCTCTCCTGCTCACTCTGGTCTCACACACAACCATGTCACTAGCTTTCCTCTCTCTCACACACCAACATGATGGTCCCTCACACTCCACACTCACACACACAAACACATATGTTCTCAATGGACCCTTTCAAAGACACCTGGGTTTGTCACTCACACAGAAATACTGTTCAAGAACAAAATTCAACTGAGGAAAATTTAAATATCCAATTGGCTCTGGGTGTTACACTATATGTTGGCAAACTGAATTTAAATAAAACATTTTTTAAAATAAATAAATCCCAAATTAAAAATATATCTAATTGGTTCTATTCATCAATTCAAGAACAGGGCTACCTCCCATCCTGCAAGTAGAGGGGAGCACCATGGAGTCGTACAAAACAGACATTTTTACAGGAAGGAGGGTGGCGCAAGAAGTTATGAGCAAAAGAAAGGAAAGGATTGTTTCAGGCAAGATGATAACTTTCTCTTAAGTAGATTACCTCATCTTCCTTTGGGGGTTAGGAGAGGGCCCCTGTGACATGTTACCTCATGGTGCCACCCAGAAAATTCTTGGCTGGTCAGTTAAAACTCCATTTCTGGGGTAGGGTGAAACTGCAGTTAGGATGAGTAAAAACTGCCCATCTGAGGACTAAAAAGTGGGCCTAAAAAGTGCCAAACTGGACCTGTAGTTTTCTTTTTACCACTACAGAAACACATTGTGTAGCTGCTCCCTCTTCACACACACCAAATATAGTGCCCTCTCTCACACTCAGGCACCTCATAGAACAGACACACATACTGCAGTCTCACACACACCAACATGCTGGCAGCTCACACTTTCTCACATACACACTTCCCACATCTCTGGCATCTCACATTTTCTCACACCTTCTCACATGTCCCACCTCTCTGGCATCTCACACTTTCTCTCACACACGTACCTCCCACATCTCTGGCATCTTGCACTCACACACAAGACACACCCCACGTCTATGGCAGCTCACACTCTCTCACACACACGTCCCACATCTCTGGCAGCTCACACTCTATGTCCCACATCTCTGGCAGCTCAGACTCTCTCTCTCTCTCTCTCACACACACACACACACACACACACACACGTCCCACATCTCTGGCAGCTCACACTCTATGTCCCACATCTCTGGCAGCTCAGACTCTCTCTCTCTCTCTCACACACACACACACACACACACGTCCCACATCTCTGGCAGCTCACACTTTCTCACACGTCCTACATCTCTGGCAGCTCAGACTGTCTCTCTCTCACACACACACGCCCCTCATCTTTAGCAGCTCACACTCTCTCTCACACACGTCCCACATCTCTAGCACTCACACACTCTCTCACACACATATCCCACATCTCTGGCAGCTCACACACACACCTTCCACTTCGTCTCTCCTGGAGCCTCGCACTCGAACTCACCTTCCACACACATGCACACCACTTCTCTCATTCTCGCTCTCACACTTCCCAGCATAACCTGGTCGCTCGCAGGCCTCTCAGGTCCAGCCTGCCTCACACGCTTACTCCGCGAGCTCGCCCCACCCACCTGTCCCCAGCCGGGCAGCAGCTGCGGCCTCCGCGCACCCGCCCCCCGCGGGCCGCAGAACCGCGCCGCGCGGGCCTCTGGGAAATGTAGTCCGCGCAGGAAGGCTCCGCAGCGGCGTCCCCGTTGGGGCTGCACCGCTGGGATCAGGGCGGCCCGCCTCGGCTGTCCGGCCCGGCCTCCGGGCTCCGACTTGCGACCCGCGGTAACAGCCCAGCGGCCTCCGCCCGGAAACCACTACTCTCACCCGAAGGGCCGTAGGGGCCAACGCCCAGGCTCCGAGCGCGCAGGCGGTGAACCTCCCGAGGCGGGCGGAGTAAAGGGGGAGGAGCCCGAGGAGCTAGGGGCGGGGCCTAGCGGCAGGGGCGTGTCCTTGAGTTGTGGAGAACGGGAGGAGGAACCCGACCGCCGGAGCTTGCGTGCCTGCGATTGAAAGCCGCGGGACTCGGAGGCGTGGCCCAGGAGGTGGGGGCATTGGGGAGCCGGCGGGAGTGTGCGCAGGCGCGCAGAGAGCCCACTCCACCTCCGCTCTCCTAGAGGCCGGTAGCGTCCCTGGTTACCCAGTGGCGGATTCTGCGAAGAGGCCCGCGCTGTCGCGGGCTCCCTGAGCGCGCTCAGGTGCGGTTTCTCCAGGCCACGCTGTGTCTGCGGACCGTGGCGTGGCTCCGAGGGCGGTCCTCGTGCCTCCGTGGGAGCCTGGTTTTCTTCAGGAAAGAATAGGAAAAACAGCGGTCGGGAACCCCGAAGATGTCCTAGCCCCAAAGTGACGGCAGCAAATTAGGAAATGTCTCTCCTGCCAAATGGGAGCGTCATCATTATCCTTACTGCTGAGAGGCAGTGAATGAGACGACGGCTCTGCAGCCAGCCTGCTGGGCTTGATTGAACTCTGTCCTGCCCCCTGCTATGGGGGACTAAGAAAACTAGAATAAGGAAAACTCATGCAGAGAAAAAAAAAAAAGACAAAATTCCCTAGCCTCTTGAGTTCTGATATTAAGTGGATGGACAACACAATGGAATGAGTAAAATAAAATAGTTTCCCAAATGATGGGAAAGGCTATGGAGAAACAGAAAGCAGGGTGGAGAAATAGAGAGTAGAGGAAATTAGAAGGTTTGCTTTGGAGAAATGAATAAAAGAGTAAAAATGGAGAGAAGATACCATCCACAATCCCACAATTCAGAACTGCTGCTAACACTATTAACATTTGTAGCATGTTGCATAAAACATATTTTCCTTTCACACCCTGGTTGCGATTTCCATACCTAAATAAACAGATAAGAAAAATGGGAGTATGTTGTACATAAACTCCATAACATTTTTCTACATCGTATGGTGAACATTGTTCCATACCAAAAGCATTCTTTAGTCCACTTTTAAATACTTGTCAAAATTATTGATTACCACAGGTAATTTGAACAAACCGCTGTTGTTGGGCTCAAAGTCCTGAATATTGAGCAAATTCTTTGTATACTTTCATCTCAAGTCTTGACCGACTGACCCTCCTGTTGGTGTAGTGTGGATGCCTGGTAACTAAGTGTCATTCATTTCTGGGGTCAGAGATGCTCAGATTTGTGAGAATATACGAACCACGGAGGATTGTATACCGTATTTGTTATTGGAGAACTACCGAAATCATTTGGGTTGGAATACATTAGATTCTCCTACCCCGACATCTTGGTCTACCCTCCAGAGCTTCTGGCATCTTTCACTAGATCTAGGCCAATTCTACAGATAAAAATATAAACTCTGCACAAAATATGAAAAACAGTTATCTGAAAGCATCAGAGAGAGAGAGCAAAGGAGAAAAAAATGAAGAATAATGACTAAAATTTTCTCAATTTGATGAAAGCATAAAATTACAGATTCAAAAAGCTGAGCCTGCTGAGGAATTTTAGGCAGAGAAGGGACCTAACCTTTTACAGTTGGGTTGGATTCAGAAGCCCTCGTCCATGGCCCTCTGGCAGGAGACACTGCTGGGTGCTGAAAATGGAGGGGGGAAAAAAAGCCTCCTCATTGCTTCCACCATCCAGACTACCCTCTCTTACTCTTACTCCTTGCCCTTTTCAAGCTCCCATCAAAGAACAGTTAATTTCCTGGTAGCTGCTGCACCCCCGAGCATGTGTTAAACTCCTTGGGTCTACATTCTGTAGGAGAAATAAAATGCCCAAATTCAACTGATGGGTTGTAAGCAATGTTTGCACTGGGGATTGAAAACAATAGTGAGGGCAGCCTGGGTGGCTCTGCGGTTTAGCGCCGCCTTCAGCCCAGGGCCTGATCCTGAAGACCAGGGATCGAGTCTCACATCAGGCTTCCTGCATGGAGCCTGCTTCTCCTTTTGCCTGTGTCTCTGCCTCTCTCTCTCTCATGAATAAATAAAATATTTTTTAAAAAAAGAAAACAAAAGTAATCTTGATTTAGTGTATAGTGAGAAAATGGCACTATCTAGCATAATGTCCTATCATCATGAGTTATGATTGCTATTATACTTGTTAGGTTATGTATTTACTCGTTTATCTGTTTATTGTCTAACTCTCTAGCTAAAGCATGTGCTCTACAAAGATAGTTCTGTTTATTTTACTTCTGTTTAGAACACTTCCTGGGACAAAGTGGGTACTCAATAAATAGATGCTGAATGGGTCCATTTTAAAAATTGATGTGTTCTGGGCAGCCCTAGTGGCTCAGTGGTTTAGCGCCGCCTTCAGCCCAGGGCAGGATCCTGGAGATCCAGGATCGAGTCCCACGTCGGGTTCCCTGCATGGAGCCTGTATGGAGCCTGCTTCTCCCTCTGCCTGTGTCTCTGCCTCTCTCTGTGTGTCTCATGAATAAATAAATAAAAATATTAAAAAAAAATAAAAATTGATGTGTTCTAACACAGGAAACAACAGATGTTGGCAAAGATGCAAAGAAAGGGGAAGCTCTTACAGTATTGGTGGGAATGCAAACTGGTGCAGCCACTCTGGAAAACAGTATGTAGGTTCCTCAAAAAGCTAAAACTAGAACTACCCTACAACCCAGCAATCCCACTACTAGGTATTTATCCAAAGGACACACACACACACACACACACACACACACAAAAACCGATTCGAAGGGGCACATGCACCCTGATGTTTATAGCAGCATTATCAACAATAGCCAGATTATGGAAAGATCCCAAATGTTCATCAACTGAAGACTGGATAAAGAAGATGTGGTGTAGGGGATCCCTGGGTGGCTCAGCGGTTTAGCGCCTGCCTTTGGCCCAGGGCGTGATCCTGGAGCGAGCCCCGGGATTGAGTCCTGGGTTGGGCTCCCGGCATGGAGCCTCCTTCTCCCTCCTCCTGTGTCTAAAAGAAGATGTGGTGTATACATATATAGAATGGAATATTAACTCAGCCATCAAGAAGAATGAAATCTTGCCATTTGCAATGCCGTAGATGGAGCTAGAGTGTATTATGCTAAGTGAAACAAGTCAATCAGAGAAAGATAAATACCACGTGATTTCACTCATATGTGGAATTTAAGAAACAAAACAGATGAACATTGGGGAAAACAAATAGTGGGAGGGAGGGACTGTAAAACAAACTCTTTAACTATGGAGAACAGGGTTGTTGGCAGGGAGGTGGGCGGGGGATGGGCTAAATGGGTGATAGCTATTAGGATGAGCACTGGGTAATATTGGTTTCAGGAGTAGAAGAATCACTAACTTCTACTCCTGAAACCAATATTACACTTATGTTAACTAACTAAAATTTAAATAAAAACTTGAAACAAAAATAAATTTTAAAAAAACATTGAAAATTGATGTGTTCTATGCATATTCTCTGAATACTCACAAAGGACCAAAAGAGCTTGTCCCGTGCAAGATGACCCCATGTAGGGATGATTCCTGTACCCTCCCGGGTGATCTAAAGAATATAAAATAAAATCCCAGAATCAAAGAAAAAATGAACGCGCAAAGTGCTCAGAGGCTGTTTCGCGGTACAACATCGCCGCCTGCCGGACACAGGCCCAAGTACAACAGCTCCATCTAGAAAGTTTCTCGCAGGTAGGCCTGGGGGTTCTCCCCCCTGACATCCCAATTTGAAGTTAATTTAGACTAAATAATTAGCAAGCAAGGGACGCAAAAGGCTTTGCTGGCCGAATGAAAATAGTCTATTTAGGGGTGTAGCCAACCTTGCCCTAGCGTCATCTCAGTTTTACCTGAAGGAGTGGCAGCCACCCTTGCAGGGAAATTTTATCCTTCTCTCTAAAAAGCCACTAGCTCAGTGAGGATTTTGAATTACAGAGGTTCCCCTGAAGTGCCTGGGTGCATTTCATTAATGTTTCAGGTAAGTGAAAGTGAATGGTATCCGTCAATGGCAGCAGCTACACAGACTGATGCAGTTGGGTCAGGTGGCAGAACAGGCTAAGAGAAAATACTCTAAGGACCAGACCCTACAAACACTAAGAATCTGGAAGAGCAGTGGCCTGCTTACTACTCAGACAAAAGACATAAGAAAGGGCAACTAATTTTATTAGTAATTTTACATAATTTAAAAATCACAGCAGTTGTGTAAAAGAGGGAAAGATGGGTCATAGCAATTGCCCGATTTTAAGAGAGAAGATAGGCAAATCAATACCACACTAAACATATTTCTGTTAAAATAATACTGGGTTCATAGATGAGGCCTTTTCTCCCTAAGAATCAGAAAATATATTTTATATAAAACAATAGTTCCTACAAAGTCTCTATTGAAAATGTATCCAGTACAGATGGGGTCCTACTTAACACTCCAGGAAGATGAAATTTCATCGTTTTAAAGTACTGTCAGTTTAACTCTAGTCAACAAATATTCTCTGGACAAATGTTGTATCCCATGTATGCAGAGGCCAATAAAATAGAATCCTTGCCCATAAGGAATTCATAATAAAGCTAGAAACACGGATAGGCATTTTAGTATTAGAACTCTCCAGAAAAATAGAACCAATAGCATGTACATAGACATAGAAGGAGATTTATTATAAAGAATCGCCTCACATGATTATGGAGGCTGGAGAGTCCAAAATCTACCAGGTGGGATAGCCAACTTGAGATCCGGAAGAGCTGATATTCCAGACTAAAAGCAGTCTGCTGTAGAACCAGAAAGAGCTGATGTTGCAGATCAAGCCCAAAGGCCATCTGCTGGAAAATTCACTCTTGCTTAGAGAAGGCTGGTCTTTTTGTTCTACTCAAGCATTCAACTAACTGATTGGCT